GAGCAACATCACAACATAACCCAAGGCCGGTCCGAAGAAGTCAGTCAACCCCAAATGCTGCGCCCGAACAGGCACCAACGCCTGCTCTGATGATCAGCACAGATTCTCGGAGTATAGTGCTTTAGGTGTGTGTGTGTGTGTGTATATACCCTGTAGAAACCTTTCCAATTCAAAACATCCAAAGTCAGCAGGATGAGAAGACTCCTGTTGCCCAACGAATTCGATGGCACAATAAAGGCTTGCAAAACAAACCTTCTGCAACCCGTCTAGAGCAGATACAGAAGAAACTCTTCAAAACTCCTGATACAACCCTAAGCCCTAAACCCTAAACCCCAAAACCCGAAATGCTCAGCCAGGTCAGCCTTTTGGGTGCGCCAGCCACACGATGCCTTGGCCGGTTTGGTGCTTTAAGGTTTGAAGTTCGGGTCTGGTACAGCAAACCCCATAAAGTTGGAAACTGGATTGAAGACAAATAATGCTGTATACAGTCCTCTTAAGGATTGAGGCTATGGGGTTTCCAACTTTTGGGCTTCTACCGTAGGGGTTCTGAGGTTTTGGGGCTTGGGGTACTTGCGGATAAGGTTAAATACAGACCAAGACCCTGGAATACCAGCATTGCTTTGGGGGTCCTTGTCGTGTTTCCTAATGTATGTCCTGCAAACGATAGGGTTCAGGATTATTTCAGGTTTATGCGTCGTTTTGCTGAGCGTTTTTGTTCGGCTTCAAGGTTAGGGTTCAGCATGGGTTAGCTGCTCCCAGAATGTAGCAAACCAGCTCATCGCAGAAACCCTTATAGTCACCCTGATGCTACCCTACTTGTAGCAGCCCTTATAGTATGATGGCAACCCCTTAATCCTTAACCAAAGCAGTACGATACTTCTCCCCCCAAAGGGCCGAGCCCCTAGGAGGAGGGTTATCAGAAAGAAATGAACCGGCTTACCAATGATATGTCATCTGAAGCAAGCTTGCTCACTTGATGTCTGCAATCTCCGGTGTCAAAAATGACTTCAACATTTAACTCTAAAGCCTAAACCCAAGTTTGCTTCTTTTGCAGTAGGGACCAGGAACCCCGGGCGGAGGTAGCGGGCTCATCCAGGCTTTGACAGCTAAGGAGTTTAGTGTGCTCAGGGTTCAGGCTCAGGATTGCAGGCTTTGTTTGGCGTGAGAGCATTAAGTTGAGGGTCAAGGGGAAGTTGTCATGCAAACCATCCCTTAACCCTAAACCCCTAAACCGTCGACGTCTGCATTGAAGCTGATGTGGGAAACGCTTCCAAGGGCCCGTGGCAACTGGCTCCTTCGTGACAGCTCCCGTGCAACCAGTGCTACTGCTATGGTCTAGAGGTTTTGGGGTTTAGGGTTCAGGGGTTTAGGGGATTGTGTGTAAGGTTTAGACTTTAGGGCATGTCATGCTCGTGCTCAGCATCTGCACCGCTGCGTTCTTTCCTCGCGACAGTGCCATTTCTCCGCGTAGCAACAGTTGTGTTCCAACCGCACTTGTTGTAAGATTCCATAACGGTGGTTGTCAAAATTAGTGTCCCTTTTTGGGTACCCTAAATAATGGGTGCCGAATTATATTAAGGAACCAAAAAGGGATCCTAATTTTGACAACCACCCATAAACACGCGTCCAATGGCCCCTGGCCATCGGAGGCAAGATCCCAGAGCGCAGCTCGTATGGCAACTCTTCACCAAGAAGCCTCTGATCACAAGCTGAAGCTGCGATAGAGAAACGAGTGCTATCAGCAAAGCCTGCACAAAGAACCCAAACCGTATGTGATGAGCCTACATGAAGCCCTAAATCCCTAGGCCCTAGGCTCTAAGCGCCACTGAAACTCCAAGTTTTCGTAGCATCGCTGAGTTTGGGAACCTATACCCTAATACTATGAATCCCTATATCTTACATGAACCTTAACCCCTTTGGGGGTTCATCTAGTCTTCAAGGTAGGTGCCGGCGGCCACAAACACCAGCACCAGAGTCCGCGACATGGCCTGGGCCAAGGTGTATCCATATCTTCATTTAGAACCCCCAGCTACAGTAAACACTATAAAGTTGGAAACCGGATTAAGGCCAAATAGTGCTGGGATTCCCTATACATTCCTCTTAAGGATTGAGGCTATGGGGTTTCCAACTTTTGGGCTTCTACTGTACCCTTTAATATGCCGTAAATACCCGCCATTACGGACCGTAAGGGCTCCATTAAAGGGCCTTTGGCGGGTCCTGGAAATGGTCCTGGCATACACCTGTACTAACCCAAAGGGTCCAAAGTACCTTTATAGTAGAATGTAGGGTTTCTATATTAGGAATTACTATTATGATTTGGGGAAGTATCCCCCATAAGAGTACATAGGACCCTTTGGGCTAAGGAATACTCGTATGATTCTACATGTAAGGAGTATTCCAGTAGTCCTGAAGAAGGGTATACAAGGAGATCTGGGAATAGGTAGATATAGGGTCTGAATACGTAGAATAGAGACTTATAAGGGCTATCTGTGGGTAGTATAGAGCTCTACTCAGGGTCTCCAGCCTCGGGTTTATGGAGTTAGATTCGGATCATTTCGGATCTGTAAATATAGGCCTCTTAACCCTTTCTTCTGCAGGTTTGTGTAGGGTTTGATGAGGGGCGTAAGAGTAGCTAGAATGGTGTTTTGCACTTTTATACTTGTATATAGTAACGATTGGTAGTTTGAGGCAGCCTAAATCGAAACACACCTACGAGAGTTTGGGAGTTCATCGCAGCGAGGGTTTCAAAACCATGTAATAGGTGTAGCAGTGGTCGTCGTCGTAGTAGTAGGAATACCAAAACAACCCCGGGTGTCGCACCGTGCCGCGCCGCTGCAGGACTGGAGCGGAGGGAAGCCGAAAAACGGCTCAAAGTCAAAAGATCTATGCAAACCCGAGCGACCTGCGTGTAGCTGTCAAGTTGGGTTTGCTAGGCAGAAAGCCTGAACCTGTAAAGCTGTGTATCTGAAAAAAATAACCGAACTATGCCTCGATGTCAGCTGAAATTGGAGTGCTCATCGCGGACTTAGCTGGCAGCTATGTCAGCCAGCAATCCAAGCCCAACCCTTCAAGAAGTGACGATGATGAGACGAAACATGGATCTGCGAGCTGCACCCCGATTCATGACTTTACATGACGGTCGGAGAGATATGGCTGCGCGTGGACACAAACCGGGAATTTGTATTCAGGGCTTCCTCCTCCCAGGCTGCAAAATAGCCTGGGCTAGTAATTTGGTTTTCCACGTAGGCTTCAACATGATGAGGACAACCCCCCATGACGATGATTGAGGCAACCCAAACTCGATGAACCCTAAGGGTCTACCTTCCCAAGCAGTGCCTACTTTGGCCACAAAGTACATAAATGTGGACTTTGACTGACAGAGTATCTGCTATGTGAACACATGGACCCCTGGGGTGAATCCATGGCTCCTGAACCTCGAATCCTGTTAACGCTTAATTCTATTTTTTGCAAGAGTACCAAGTTCAAGGGGTTTATGGAAATCAGGTTTTGGCAGACCCAAGCCCACAAACCTCAGCTCTTGCTCGTGGGCTGTTAGGGATAACGGAACTTGTATGTACACATGTATATATGCATGTATGTGTCTAGATGCATATTGCTCTCTCTCTCTCTATATATATATATGTATGTGTACATAAATATCTATGTTATATGTGCGCGTGTACTATTCCACACACACACACATACATACATACATAGCTACCTACCTACCTATACATACATACATATATATATATATATATACATATTATACATCTCTGGCGATCATGATGACATGCTTGATGCGGTTGTGCAGGAAGCCCTGTCATTACAGTCCACCGAAGCGCCCGATTGCCAAGTTCCAGCCTCTGCAGTCCCTATATGTAAGATTATCCAAGCATTTCTGTAATATGCCCCAGAAACCCTATTCATTCTACTTTGTGAGGTGTAGGGATGTCTATGGTGACCATCCTTGCCTCAAGCTTTAACCATTGCCTGAAGCATATCCTCAAACTGACAACCTTTTTGCTTTTTGGAGTGACTCTTCGACATGACTGTTCTCTGTTGCTAAACATACGAGCTCAAGTAAAAGAACCCAAACAATTTCAAAGTACCCCGAAGTCAAAACTACAAAACAAGTACAGGTAGTTCAACAACTCTTCGAGTTTGTATAAACAAACCCTATAGACACTAAACGGTCAACCCTGAAACCCTGAACCACGAAGCCGTAACCATCCCTCAAAATTGAACCCTAACCAGGTGTCTCCCTTAGGAGGGTCCGGAATCTCCTGGGGAGAGCCCTTGCTTCTCTTTAGGATCTCAAAATCCTACATTTTGAGGTTAATAAGTCTTAGGACCCTTAGGGTAACTCCTCAACCCAATGGAGCACGCAGGTTTTCAGATGTGTGGAGCCGCTTCCGAGCACCCAACACGGCACTTGGCACCCCTAAACTTTTTGGGTCCAAAGGACCCAATAATCAGGTACTTGGGTTTAGGATAGTAGTTATGTAGCTCAATATTTATGAGAGTATATGATTGTTCGGTACTTGGACCCTTAGGGAAACCCTTTAGGCCTTTGTGTTTAGGGTGGAGGGTTCAGGGTTCAGGATTTGGAAGAGGGTGCGGAGTTGAATTAGGGGTCATTAGCCCTTACCTTAACCATCAATAGCCTACCTTTGACGGGCTCTATGCTACAGTTTCTTCATGGAGGTCCAAAAAACCACGTAAGTTTTACAGGGTCCAGGTAACCTTTAGGTTCGAGAAGTGCCCGGGGCTGCAGTCTTGTTTCCAGCAGATTCCGGAAAGTGTTGTTTAGGGTGTAGGGTTTCAGGGGTTTAAGGTTTAGGGCTTATAGGTTAGAAAGTGGTGGGAGCTTCTGAAATGAAACGCTGGTCTTTGAACGGCTTCGGGTTTGAAGTAAAGGGATGTAGAAAACGGGTTCCAACTTTGAGGCAGTAAGCAGCCGGAGCCGGAAAAAAGCTCAAAACTGCCACAGGAGGTCTTCAATCGACTTCTTCGAGTTCTGCCAGATCCACCGGGACTTTGTCCTGCTCGCAGGCAGAGTTCCCGAGTTGATTTAGCTTGGGGTCTTCTCGGATGTACGAGCTTAGAGGCTTGACAATTAAGCGGTTGCAAAGCTTACGGCTTCGGGCGTACTGGCTTTTTGTTTGGGGTCCAGGGTAGGGTTGAAGCAATCGTTGATGGTATTGGAAACAAGAGTTTCGGAATTCACAACTTTAGGGACCACGTGCTTGAGCTTGAACTGTATATATGCCTAAGATTTGAAGTGGCCAAACGCGTGGTCCAAGTACCAGCGGTGCTGGTAGACGGCAAAGGCAGTAGAGAAAAAAGCTTTGGGTTGACAGCAAAGTTTAGGGAGTTTTTGGCTTCAGAGCTGGAAGGGGGGAGGCAGAGTTTAGAGCTTGCGAGTTGAGAGGGAACAAGAATACAGAACTTGAGGAAGTTACCAATCACGAGCCCGAAGTATAGGGTTTCGGGTTCAAGGGTACATGTGGTACATAAGTACTTGGAGGCACTTTCAACTCTGGCACATGCCGATACAGTTTTGCGAAGGACGAGAAAAACCTGCCCGAGATCCAGAGAAAGCAATGAAGTGCAAGCGACCAGCCAGACCCAAGCCTAACAACCCAAACTCCTAAAACCCAATGCCAAGCAATAAACCCTCAACCCGGGACTTTAGACATACGTGTAGACCAGCCAAACGCAGAACTCGAAAGCAAACTGGCCCGACGGCCACCCTTCCCCCTCCACAGACCCCTTTTGTTCACTCATAAAGGAACCCGTAAAGTACTCACAACCCTAAACGCGAAATTCTGCAAACTCGGACAACCAAAAAATGTGCTCACCCTACCTTCAAAGAAGTCTGCAAAATCGGACAACAAAAAACATATGCCCTCAAAGGAGCCCTCAGAGGAGTGGCCCTGAACCCTACTTCCGCCTCGATCGCCAACTTCTCGGCTTCCTTCTTCTTCTCCTTCTCCTTCTTCTTCCTTGCCCGGGCCTCAGGGATGGCGCGTGGAGCTCATGTTTAGGGTTTAGGACTTTAGGACTTTGGGGCTTAGGATTTATAGGGTTTACAATAGGATTTAGGATTTAGGGGTTTGGGATTTAGGGGTTGGAGGCCGCAAAGCGTGGTATGAAAGCAGGTAGGATTAAGGATCTCTTATATAAGGACTCATATTTTGGAATGGGCATTGGGTGTTGGGTTTAGCGGCTAAGGTGGACGCGCTTCCTGCTGCACACCTAGACATCGATGTCAATCGATGTTTGTATCTATCTGGAGGGGAGCGGCCGTAGCTTAACACTGCACATCTTTACATCGACATCATGCAGCAACTATTTGTGCATCGTCTAACTATGTGTCAGATCCATGCACTGCCTGTCTATATCTATCTGCATCTGAATCCAAATCTACAGCTGCATCGATATTTACATCTATATCTGTACCATTGTCTATGTCGATATGTAACGGTCCATCTCTGTCGTTTTCACACGGGTTTACGTTCGAAAACATTGTTGCAAGGCCCCTTCAAAGCAAGCCCCCTAATCGTCTGAAATCCTCTTGAAACCCGCGGACCGCATACATTGACCTCCTGTGACGTTTCCTCCTGATGACAGCACCAAGAGGCTTCGTCGATCTCCCGTTGTCGACGGATGGACGGCGCCTGCTGCAAAGAAGCAGTGCAGTTTCTCAAATCCGAAGCAGAAACATGGCCAATCGCCATAGACGCGCCAACATAATCTGTCGTGAACCCGCACCTAGCTATGAGGACCAGCCACCTAAATCGTTCTTGCCTTGTGCCGTGATCATCAGAGCCAACACGAATTCGGTGTAAGTCTTACAGCTAGGGTCAGTCCTTTCCAAATTTAGGGTTCCCTATTACGATTTTCTTCCAGTAGGTTGTTTGGGGTCTGGGTAAGACATAAAATATCCCGCAACTCCTGAAAGCCATGCAAGACTTAAAGAGAACCCTCAAAACGCAGCTTAGTTCTCCGGTCCTCTCGGGAAACGACAGGTTGACCTTTGGGATGAAAGTAGTACCCCAAGAACAAGTTAAGGGCTACCTAATTCACTACTAATCCAGAATATTCCCCTGGGGGCTCCCTTATAAGGCTCCATGTGACCATTTAATATGTATATCTAGTTCGGCCTCAAACAGGTTCCTATATAGGTAATTTAAAGCCTAAGCATATACTGCATAGGTACATGGAGCGTTAGGCAATCTCAGTTCGATGGGCTTCAGCTCAGCGCGGCACCAAAAAAAAGCAGCGAAAGCATGAACATCTGGTGTTGTAATTGTTGTAGGGTTTAACAGCTGTAACAGCAAAGGTCAGCCAGCGGCGAACCCTATGAGACCGCCTTCCGAAACGTTATATGGGGTTATCGCCTCCGGGCGGTCACCTTGTCGTTCTGACCGGTTGAAGAAAGGCTCGGGTCTACACTACAGGGCTTGGGGCTTGGAGCTGCGGGCTTTTTGCGGAGTTGGAAGACCCCTGAATCGAGATGAAGGAAGGATTGAACATTCAAGTGGATAGCCGACCCAGCAAACCCATCATCTGTCTGGCAAGCCCTGTCTTTCAGATCTCCAAGCATTCATGTCGGGCTGCGTTCGTCCCGAGCAGCCATTTCAGCAAACTGAAGAGTACGCTTGCACGACAGGACTATCTCCCCGCCACGTGCCGCGAGCTGCGCGCGATACTTCTTCTCTGGTTGGTCTCGCCTGGCTCGATCGCGGGCCTTCGCCACGTGGGGTCCTGCCAATACCCCTTCTTCCAAGTGGCCTCCGGCACTGGCTTATCGCAGCCAGAGAACGGAGAATGCTCGCGAATGCTGCTGTTTCTGAAAACTGCGCGTTCACCGTGGGCTAGCCCTCCCAGGAATACGAAAACACCTGGTGTTTGTGTGTCTCTAGGAGTCCGCGAGTGTCTGGGTAAAAGAAGCGACGGCGCTACAGCCGGCCTACCCCCAGGGCTTGTAGGGCCTCAGAGTTTTAGAGTTTATCAGATGGGCCTTCTGGTTTATGTGTGCAGGGTTTTTGTGGATTTAGCACGCAGGTTTTGACGGGTGAGGATGCAGGGTTTAGGCTGAAGGTCTCGCAATCTCAGCCTACTTGTCGGGTATCATGGGGAACTAAGGTTAAGTTTTTTGGTTATATAGGGATTATATAGGACCATCATACCCAGAAAAGGTTAAATAAAGGTTCCCACTCTACTACTAGGTCAGATCGAGTTTCGATAATGAAGTGTAAGCTCGCCTCCTTGTGCATGTCTGCGATGGATACATAAGGGCAATCCTCAGCAGACAAGTTCGGAGCTTAGCTTGACCCCAAATAACATACCTTTTAAGGACCTATAAGTCCTCAAAGGTAGGTTATTTGGGTTCAGAGCTTCTTCTACAGATCAGCTTAAGCCGAGGTGAACCTAGTTGCTGATTTCCTTGGCCTGATTTGCTTTAACAGTTCGGTCATGATCAGATTTGCTTATCAGTTCTTCCTCAGGCTTCAGGGATTAAAGGTTACATGCCCAGCCTTCTTAAGGTGAACCTCCCATGGAGGCTGAAGCGCTGCCGTTGCTGGCTTCTTCAGCGCGTCACTCGAGGACTCTTGCTTTTTGTGTCTGCTGCAGGGTTGATAGCTTTTGAGCATCAGGGCTCATTAAGGGTTTACGGTTTCGGGTTTTGGGTTGAGGGGCTTCGGGTTTTATGGCTTGGGGTTTTGGCCGGGCCAGGTAAATCGTAGAAGTCGCGGACAGGATTCCTAAATTCCAGGCACCGAGAGCTTCAACCGCACACGGGATGTCAAATCCAACCCCCTCCCCCTCCCCAAGTTCGTTTGGGCTTTGGGGCTTAGCTCCTACGGCTTAGCCCCAAGAACCCTTACATTCGAACCCTTATGGAGAGCCAGAACGCCTAGAACCTTTAGAAACTCGAATCCCATGCAAGATTCGAGGTTCTAAAACCAGCAACCCCTTAACTCTTAAACTCTAATGTAGGGGCCTTAATGGGTTTAGAGTTTTGGTGTCGATACTATATTCTATGGAACACTTGTCGCTAGTACTCAACCCTCAAAACGAAATCCTAAATCCCTGACACTGGGTCAGAAGCATTGCAGTAGACTTTGAAGCAGCGGTCTTCTGCCTTCTTCATGACATTCACCTGCAATAACTTTCAGGGTTTAGACGGTTTTCAGAGGTTCTCTTCGGTTGTATAGGCTGGGTTCCGCAGACGGGCTGCAAGCGTCCAGCACGAGAGGGGCTGACTTTAATCATTAGACAAGGGTTTTGAGGCAAGTTGATCTAGACTTATGCAGGGACCACAACAAAATATTCGCACGCACTATTGCGACCTGTATGGCGGGTTCAGGGGTTAGGGTGCTCTTTCACTGATGGCGGTCCCCAACCCTAAATCTTTGACCCTACACTACTGAGGACCTTTGAAAACGATACGGCTGGCAACCCCGCCCCAAACCGTAAACCGTCCGCTAGCCCTAAATCATTACACCCAAACCGCCTGAACCCCTGAATCCCGAAATCCTGACCCCTACACACCCTAAAACCTCTTGCAAGTATCCACCTTTAAGGACCATTAGGGCTCTATCTCTATCAAAGAGCAGGAACCCTTAACCCCTTAAAACCCGAAACCCTAACCCCTACATAACTAAACCCCTAAACCCCCGTAAACAAACCCAAAGCCCTAAACCCTAAACCCAAAGCCTCTGAACCCTAGACTCTAAGCCCTAATACGCCTTGAAGCCGTAAGCCCTAAACCCAAAGTCCCCGAACCAAGTCCCAGCAGGAACCCCAAGTCAGCCGGCATTGCACTTTTGGAGCCGCAGCCTTCGCACTCGTACTCGGAGAACTCCTGCCATGGGTGAGGGTTCAGCGCTCACGGTTGTTTGGGGTTTGGGGTTTAGGGGCTGAGGGATTAGGGGTTTTAAGGGGGTTCGGGGGTTTGGGGGTTTAGGGGTTTATATTAGGTTGCAAATTCATGGGCTTAGGGTTTAGGGATTGGACTTTAAGGGTTTAAGGGTGTAGGGTGGGGGTAGGGTTCAGGGTTTTTTTTAGAGGTTAGAGGTTTAAGGTTTTAAGGCTTTGGGTTTCCAGTGGCTTCCGGCGGCGCTGTCGGATGAAGGTTCCCGAGCCTATGAGCTGAGGGATATCTGAGCCTTATAAGTTTCGGGCTAAGCAAGGTGCCCAAGTAACGCTCAATAGAGGCCGTCTTGGTCTGTAACTGTAACAGTCGGGTTTGGGTTTCAGGGTACTTTGGCCCTATGTTCGTACGTATGGTGGGTATCTTGGGTCTAGTGTGTGGGGTTTAAAGCCTTGTGGTCCGAAATAATGTGTAGTCGCTTTTTTTGTAAAGGGTAGTGGAAGGGTTCAGTGAGAGGGCTTGGAGCTTACTTTAACGGCGTCAGAATTCCAGATCCCGGAAAGGACGTGGTCGCAGAACTCAGGCGGTTCTGTCCTTGTCGTTTTAAGCTCTTGACTGGAACCCGTTAAGATTTAGGAAGTTTTAGATTGAATTCCATCCTAAACCCTCAACCCCTAAACCCTCAACCCCTAAACCCTAAACCCCTAAACACCTTAAACCCCTAAACTCTAAACGCCTTAACCCTGCACCCTAATCAACAAACCCCAAACCCCGAACCCCGGGCATGGCCCTCCTCCTCTTCCGAGAAGTACACATCTGCCTGGCCGCCATGCGAGCAGCATTTGCACCACGGGCCCAGAGACTCCAATAGCCTTTATTTAAGGAATATTCCTTAAATTATAGTAGGATCCCATATATGATTTAAGGAATATTCATATTCCTTAATTAAGGGATATTGGAGTCTTTCCCTAAACCCTACCTTAACCCTGAATAAACTACCCTCTTAGAATTCCTTATTATGATTCCCTTTTACAAGTCCTGAAAAAGATGGGTTCTTCGGGGGCTAAAGTAAATCTTAAACCCCAAACCCGAAGACTCCAAAGATCCCGAAGTAGCCACCATTTTAGACTCTAGAACCCCCGGAAACTTCCGAAGCAAATCTTGCAGGGTCAGGGCCAGGGGTCGAACCAGGGCTTGGGGGATTCTTGGCGTTCCCTAAGGCTCCAAAGAGGCTCTTGGGCTTTCTGGGGGAGGGTTTGGGCTTTGGGGGCTAGGGTCCGGGATCTCACTACAAGGGTCCACTCAGTGCTTCTCGAAAGTCTGCCAGAACGAGCCCCGCTTTCCTCTTGCTCAGTGGGGATAGCGTGCCTGGGAAATAGAGAAGAGGCTGCCGGGACACGCCCCAAACGCTAAAAATGTAATACTCTAACTTGAGTTAGATGCAAAGCCCTAAAAAACGTAACCCCGAACCAATCAACCCGGTAACGCCCAAAAAGGTAAGCCCAAAGCACGAAATTGCAACACAAGGGATTGGGGCCTCCCTGGGCAGCACCGCGAGTGGTTTATAAGGTTCAGATACTTGGTGGTTTCAGAGTGACAGGGCTTCTGTATGGGCATCTTGGTGGTTTGTAATTACTAGGGCTTTGCAGGGCTTTCGGGATCAGGGTACGGTGCCTGAACATGTGAGATACGTCTTGACAGCTTCCACGGTGCGATGTAAGGTAGGGCCAGAGGAGTTTCAATCAAGATTTTGGCAAGTTTCAGCGTATGGTATGGTCTTGGCATCTCAGCCGCATGAATTGTGCTTCGGGGTTGATGCTTGTTGATGCTTTGCAGGAGAACAAGTCGGTGCTTTGGTCATTCAAATACATCCTGCACCCGAGGCCCCTTAGATCTTAGTCTAATCCTGACATATGTAGACAGCAAGCCGTGCTACGCTTGCTGGGGGCAGCCTCCGTGTGCATTGCCTCATGGTTTCTGTAGGGTTTCTGGAGTTCCATAATGGAGTGAGTTGCTGCAGCGAGTTGACGGCTGCAGGTTCAGGGAGACTTGCGGGATGCACGAGACTTCTGCAACTTCTGCGGTCGTACCCAGTTCAGGAGGGTTTCGGGTTTAGGGCGTTTAGGGTTAAGAAAGATCGACATACAACTGCTCGCCAGATGAATGCTGCACATCCTATTGACATGACGAGTGCTACATGGCTTGTTACAACCGGCGCATGGCAGCCACTGCTTCAGGTATGTCTTGCTGGATGCCAAGACTTGCAAGGGCTTGTCTAACTTCGATTGCCGGACGGTTGCAGACCTTCATAATTGACAGACTAACTTCGTGACCAAAAAAGGCAGTGCTCGCTGATTCCATAGTTCAGATGCAGAGTTTTGTCCACCTCCCGTATGCGAAGATGTCCATAGCAACTCCGTATAAAAATCCCTACATACTTGCGACCGACCACCCCTAAACTTTTGTGCCGATTCCAGGCGGGCTTCAACATGGAGGATCTGCCGCACAAACTTCAAGTCCCTAGACCCTGAGGATATGGACCCACGAACATGTTGAAGCCTGCATACTTCGGCCGTAAAGGCATAACTCACGTCTACTACATATCTGCTCTAAGACCACATGTGACCCTAAAACCCTATAAAGCCCTAAACCCTAAATCGGAAATCCTGGACCCTAGCTACAATTACAACCCCGACGCCCTGGACCCACTGCCTCTCGCCGCGGCTCGGGCTCTTTCAGATTCGCTATCATCTGACAGGACTGGTGAAAAGGGTGTGGAAGCTTTAGGACGTGAACCTATAAAACCTCTGAGCCCTAAACCCCTAAACCCTGAAATTCCTTGCAGCGCTTCGGGTTTAGGGTGGTTTGGGGATGTGTTGTGTGGGCTTTGCCGGCTTCAAGATGCTAAACCTCCAAAAAAAAAGAAGCCAGTGTCAACACTGGGTTCTTATATAAAATTAACCCTCAACCCAAAGCCTGAACCCGAAGCAGGAAACTCTAAACCCCCGGCCCTGAACCCGAAACCCAAGAGATTCATCTCCATCCCTGACACACGCAGACCTACGGGCAACTATAGACATTGCAGTGCTACATTACGGTGGATCCAAAGACTTCACGGAGGGCACAGGCAGGTAATGAAGTAGTTATGCATCTGGTAGGCCCCAGCAGAAGGGGTGTCAGAATGCTTGGTGTATAGGGTCTGTGGTCTGGGGTTCGGGGTGTAGGATTTTCACTCTTCGACGAACCTACATACGGATTGTATAGATGAATACCGATCATGAATTCTGTGCGGCAACGGACCAAGTGTTCAGAGAGTATCGAGGTATCAACGACTGACAGACTAATAGACTTCGACGCCTAAAGCCCTACTATCTGAGTACTTGGACCATTAGGGCAAACTACCTTTCATGTGCCTGTAACCTTCAGCTCGATCCCACGACCCGTAAAGTGAACGACACGACCAAGACATAGAACATTTATGCCCAAAACTGCAAAAAAGAAACCAGAACCCCAAACCCTGGTCACAACGTGACCTCCAAACCCCAAAGAATCAAGCTAAAACCCCAATCCTAAACCCTAAACCCCTAAACTCCTAAACCATAAATCTTGGACATAGATAACGCTAAAGCGTGCACTATTACGAGGTATATTTCCACAAATCATAAACAGTACTTCCTGACATAGAAACCTCTCCTTCCACTACATACTTTGGACCCTCTGGGAGATCTTGGGAGAGTTGAGGACTCAAGCTCGAGGATGCAAAGTTGCGTACGAGTGCTCCAGTGAGCAATACTTCGAGTTCGTGCTTACGCACGGAAACTGGTCTATGAATCAACTGGGATTTGGTGCGGAAGGCGGGTGTGGTACTGCAGATGGGGAACTTTCATGTGTTCTGCAGCCTCTCTTATGGGAGTTGAATGCCGAGGTCGTGACCTTTATCCTCGTATCAGCGGTGTCGTCATCACTGTCGTCCTGGGCTGAGGCCTATTCCCGAAGGGTCCAAGTACTCACCGACTGCATACTCACTGACCCAACATAACACCGATTATGCTTAAGAACCTATGCTGCTATACAATGAAAATACACACGGGGATAATCCCGCAGATGTGTACACAATCGGAGAGAGCCCCATGCCCCTTGCTTCAGGAAAGTTCCCTAACGATTGACTAAGCGGCACTCTATGATTGAAAAGGTCGAAAGATCAAGGGGTAGTATTGGCCTCTCGATCAACCTATTTCCCGACAACTTCTGCAGCCGGAGGGCACCCGCTGCCGGTCCCAGTTCCTCACAACGTCTGGGCTTGAAGGTTTAGGGTCTGTGACGTTGAGGATTTAGCCAGGGTCTATTTAGGGGTTTGGGGCTGTCGGGGTTTGGAGGTTGTTGGGTTTAAAGGGACAGGTTGAGAGCGCATGGAAAAAAATGTTACCCCCCGGATCCTAAAATACCTCTCGCGGAAAACGTTAGAAGACCGAACTGAAAAGGTCGCAGCAATACTCTATGCATTCTCTGGCGGGGCGGGTTCTAGTCTGAAGCCATGCGCTCAACTTGCCTGCGTCTGTAGCACTGGACTCCGGGAGAGCACTCGAAGATCAACGTGCCGAAACTGTTGTGTTTGTCCGCGGCTGTTAGTCCTGATGGCGTTCACCGCTATCTGCTATCTGCTCGTTATCTACATCGAAAATGCAGATTGGCGCATCGCTTTGAGGCCCAAGATCCCGAACCCCAAACTTGAAACCCGTCGGCCCGAAGCACGTAGGAGTCACAAAGGACCCCGGCAAAGCTTGTCCAGACCACAAAATACACATTCTTAGCAGGAGCTTTGTTTCAGGACCGCGAAAAGATTGTATCCCCACATTCGCCTTTGACAAAACTCCACACTAAATCCTAGAATCCACCCCCTCAAAAAATAGCGTCCTGCTTCTCTTTCTCGAAGAGCGTCTTAGTGATGTATTTCGTACCTGGGTCGCCAGTTTTCGAGTTCGACTCAAAGTAGCCTAACATCCCTAGAGTTGAAGGGGTTGCCGGTTTTCCTGAATCCCAAACCCTAAACCCGAAACCTAGGCGAGGTGACGCTGCATGCTTCTTGGGTCATCAGTCTAGGGTTTGGGGCTTTGGCTGTCTACCACGGATGAGCACGGAACTGGCTTTATGCTGAGGATCACCATATCAGGTAGAACTCCTTCCAAAAAGTTGTTATAACTTTTTGCCCCCTACAATAAGAAGCCTCAGGATACAAACAAAGTTACTGTAAGCTTCTACGATCCTATATGGCCAAGCGCCGCACACGGAGGAACACGTACCCAAAACCTAGCAACTGGAAGTAACCGATGGTAGCGACTCCGAAACTCATAGACGTGCTTATGAACCCAGAGAAGCCTTGCACAAATGCAGATAACATCCATTCCAGGGGCTGTAATTTGAAGGTTCTGGCTTGTTTCGCATTTTGGGGGGGCTTCCGTCAAAAAAAATCCTCAGGCCCTAAACCCTTTGCGCCCTAAAACCCTATAAACCGCTGAACGCCACAGCGTCTTGTTGCTCACTGCTTTTGTTGCTTATGTGGGTAGTTGTCAAAATTAGGGTCCCTTTTTGGGGCACCATAAATATTAGGTGCCGTACTACATAAGGACCCAGAAGGGACCCGAATTTTGACAACCACCCATGTGTTCTCGGCCAGCAGCTTGGCGAAGTCGACGAGCATGGGGGCATGGGGTCCTCGGCCTCGTATTCCCTGGAAGGCCAGTCCGTGAAGATCCGCTTGGTAAGCCTCTTTATCATAGGGAAGGGAAGGGGTAGGGGACTGTACTTAAATAAGCCTTCTTAAGTCCTTCCTATGGGTCCTTAAGGCCCCCTACCCCACCTCCCCCCGACCATCTCGAGCGAGATCCCCTGCGATTCCTGGCATGCTTGAGCGCGAGCTGGCCTCTGCACCTTGCTCGTCAGCCTCATCTCACCAGGTCTATGCAGCACTCGCTGAATGCTCACTTCTTTCGTTGTGTGGAGAGCATATGAATATGGGGTTAGGTTCCGGGTTTGGGGCTTAGGATTTCTGGTGTGGAGTTCAGGAGTTAAAGGATTCGTGTCTGCGGTTCTGTGCGTGGTTGCTGGTGCTCTCCATGGTACTCCCTTAGTTCCAAAAGAGGACATCATTCCCACAATAATTACCGGGCCCCGATTTCGAGACTCACCCCTACCTCCAAAATTCTGTGTTTGCAATGTCACCTAGCATGAAACTCGAATTCGCATTGCATGAACGCAAATTACGTAAGTTTTGTACCTGGCAAAACGCTGCGTGAACCCTAGAACAGTGAACACTAGACCCTAAAAAAAACTCAAAGACCATCATACCCCGGACCAGCAACACCGCCCCTAAAGACAAGCTTAAGCACATCTACACAGTGGGTTGTTTGAAGATAGGTGAGATAGGTGAGATACTATCCAGGTTATAAGCCATTTATAAGTGACTTAGGCATGGTCTAACTCGTTTCTATCTCTATCTCAAGATACTATCTTCGACGGAAGATGGCAAGAGATAAAAGACTTAGAACGGACTTAGAAAAGATAGCTGCGCCAACAGGGTGAAGAAGTAGTGTATGGCCAGAAGAGAAAGAAAAAGATAAAAAAATATAAAAACATATAAAAAAAGATAAAAAAAGATAGGAAAAGATAAAAAAAGATAAAACAGAGATAGCAGGAGTATCAACAGACGGCGCTTTGACGAGTCCGTGCATGTAGTTTTTTTCGTGCACCTTCCGCGAGGCTTGAAGAGGCAATGCGAGACCAGACTGCACGATCCCAGAAGAAATGCTCTGATTGGCGTTTCTATACTGGCCGGCACAGCTTACGAAGTGCACGTCCTTTCTGCACACGTGGAAAACGCCGAGCCCTTCTTTGAGGCCAAAAACCAGCTGGAGCTTGCACACATCCTTCCTAAACCCAGAAGGCTTATGCCCGAAGCCTTGAATCTTGAAGCGGAAGTGAAACAGATTGCAAGACACTCTCTTGCAGCTGTCCGCTGTGCCTGTATTGGGGGGTCCCGCCAGCAGCAGCAGCAGCAGCCTACTAGGTCTCAGAATCTGCCAGAGGCAAAGACCTTCTGGCCTCCAGGGTTGAGGCCCAGATGAGGCACTACACGCACTACCCTGCACTACCCGGCCCCAGCTGGCCCAGATTCGTAGAGGGCTCCAGGCACTACTCTCCTTCAGGCTCCCAAGGCCCAGGGGCGCACTACACCACACTACCTTCCGCCAGGGTCCCCAATAGGGTCCAGCAGCTCTTCTTCACTGGTTGGTCTGTGTGGCTCAAGTCCCGGCAGCAGCGTCTATAGGTCTTGTCCCCCAGCAGCTCAGACTCCTGCCGTGCCGGCCAAGCATGGCCGCTACAGACCCGAGCACTCGGGATTGCCATCGTAGGTATAAGTACCTGAAATCAAGCCCTTCCTATCTTTCACAAGAGACGCAGCTGAATGCTGAGCAAGCTGGCGAGGAAACTGCCACCCAGTTGCTGGGCCTTGCGCCCGACGCTGATGCGCTTCCGGCTGCAAGCCTGCCTTCCGAAGCTCTGGCGGCAGGAGCTGAGGCAGTCCCTGGTGCACGGCTGCAGCTGCAGCTCACTCAGCCTTGCGGAAAGTGCCGCAAAGTTTGACGTGTTTGTGCTTTCCATGTTCGGTATCTTTTGAGCCTACTGGTTTTCCTTAAATCAGATAAAAAAAGATAGAAAAAGATAAAAAAAGATAAAGAAAGATAGAAAAAGATAGAAAAAGATACTAAAAAATAAAACAGATTTAACTTATCTCACTTTTATCTTTTTTTATCTCTCCTTTCTCTTTCTTTCTCACCTAAGTCAAACAACCCACTGTGTATAGACACTATAAGTCATAAACCATCAACAGTTTACGCTGTTGCGAACTCCTCAGTCAGCGGCAATCGTTCCGTAGGTACAGCAAGTACCTGCATTGAACTTCTGTCGGGCTTCAGGGCTTCGGATATAGAGTTGAGGGCTTGGGGGGGGGGGGGGGGGCTTGAGGATTAGGATTATCTAAAAGTTTGTTGATGTTGTTAAGCGCTTCAGGCATTGGACGCTCTGGCGCTAATGACTTGTGTGATTTAGTTTCAGTGTTGTAGAGACTGTCAGGTTAAATGACAGTTGTTTAGAGCTTGGGGGTTCAGGGGTTTGGGAATCCGTGAAGCTTACGATCTCTGGGGTGCCCGAAACGCACCTCTCAAGTTTTATCTCGAACCCCTGCTTGCAACGACACTCTAAACCCTCAACCTGTAAATCCAAAGCCCTAAAGCCAAGACCGAAAACCTCAGCCTTAAACAAGACGAACCGAAACCTATCGCTTACCCTTGGGGTCCACGTACTCATGTCGGCATGCTTTGGCCTTGTAGTATTGGTAAACCCTATTTAAGTAATGTTGGGCTCAATGCCTATACTGTCTGGGCGCATAAACCCTAAACCCTAAACCCTAAACCCTTAAGGTCAAAGAAGGCCCCATGTTGACCTTGTTCACAGTAGGATACCTGTCTTGGGTCTATACAGCAGTCCCGATCTGAGCTCCTTTAACAGTAGACTCATAGAAGGGCCTTAATGGTTTTGATAGGGTTTGGGGATATACTGCATCCCCTCACCGTCAGCAAAAAAACAAACACTGACAGACATCCTGAAAAATGGCTTATAGGGTTGAGGATGCCACAGCTGTCAGCCTACGATTCAAAACAGTATGTCACCCTGCTTCGACCAAAAGCAAGGCCTCGTCAGTGTTCGGTATACATACCCGAAACCCGAAACCCTAAACTCTAAACCCGAAACCCGAAACCCTAAACCCTAAACCCCTGAACCCTGCAAGCCCTAAACCACAAAGGGCTGGATTTTACCGACACCTCTACGAGACTTTCTGTATCAGTCCAGCTGGGTCTTCGTAACACGGTAATAAGAGAAATACTGCTCCGTGATGTATGGACTTTTTTGATATATTGGCCGCCTTACACTAAAACATATCGAGCTTTTGGCTGTACTAATCGTATAGATACAGTAAACAACCCTTTGAACCAATACTACTGATTACCCAGGCCTCTTCATTGTCTAAGTTTGGAGTTTTGGCGCATTCGGGTTGACAGCGCCCGCATCTGAAGTCTTTGTTGCCAGCTCGGAAGCCTACACTGTAATCTCCACCCTGAAACCAGCGCCCACAGCTGGAAACCGGACCTAACCTAAACCTCTGAGGCTCTGCCTGACAGTATTGTCGCTGTAGTGACTGCTTGTCCAAGAAGTGGCAATGTTGCTGGCGATATTCAACTTGCTACCGATGTCCTACTTAAGAGTATTGTTACGTGCAGCGAACTCACTATGATTGTCATGGCCATACCTACATCGTTGTCGCTGAGACCTTGAAGCTCATCACCATCACCAACATCATCGTCGTCATCTTCATAGCTGCCATCATCGTCGTCACAGACATCGCCACACACTCATCGCCATCCTCTTCCTCATCACAACCGTTACTGTTGCATGCCTCGAGAAGAGTCGCAACTGTAGTTGTAGTTAGTCCGACCACTGTTGGCGTTATCACTGCCACAATTACGACTGCGACTACTACTTTTGCTACTACCGCGGCTCATGAGTTTGAGTGCGGAAATAAACTCTCTTGTTACCCGCAGGCTTCGTGGCAAATTACGAAAACATTGATACTGCAACTGTATACCCTATTAGTCTTCAAGACGTCGGAAAGATGCTAATTACTCAGGCCAACTCAGTGTAGCTCTAATGAGAGATGGTGGCAGGATTACGGTAGTACCAGCGAAGGTCAATAGCAAGCATGATCATGCACAAACGGTCTTACTGGGACTGTTTACAGGCGCACCGGATGTTCTTCATGCGCTCACCGGCTTTGTTGGTCTTCGTTTCTAACTCCCAGTAAGAGTCCTGGCATTGGGCGGTTGAGGTGGGTTTAGGATGCTTTGTTGATTTCGGATTTGGGGTTCAAGGTTCGGTTAAGGTGCTTATCAGGATTTCATCGCCATTCTTGGTTTTGAGTGTCGGGGTTGCAGGTCAGCTTTTGCGACCTTAAATCCCGGCTTGGGAGGCTTTAGGCTCCAAGGTGGTACTCGGGCTGTCAACCTAGCCATCAGCGTCCATGTACCCAAACGGTACCCCAAGCCCTTATGGTCCCCTTAAAGGAACCTTTTAAAGGAACTCTTGTGAGTACATGGACCATTCGGATAAGCTGCTCTGACTTATGGTCCGAAAAGAATCTTCCTCCAACCCGAAGCCCCCAAATCCCGAAGCTCCCGCAGACCGACCAACGGTATTCTGTGGCCCCACTCAGAGCTTGAGACTAAGGGTTCAAGGTTGAGGCCTTTGTGCTTTTGGGGCTATTGGGTCTTTCTGTGTCTTTGGGGTTTAGGGCCTTTGGCTGAAGGAACCCTAAACCCTAAACCCCAAACCGGGATTTTGGACGAAGGAACCCAAAACCCCAAACCCTAAACCGGGCCTTTGGATGAAGGTTAGGGTGCATGTTGGTTGAGGGCTGAATCGGGGCCAAGGCTTGGTGTTGTACAGGTGTCGGATGGCTGAGCCCCATATCCCAGACTATTTTGGCAAATCCTATATATATATAATACGATATGTATACATAAATATATATATATATATATATATGTATTATACTCTCTATATATATATACACACACATACATACATACGTACATACATACATATATATATATATATATATATATATGTATACACTCTCTCTCTATATATATAGATTTAATAAACCCTCAACCCTGAACCCTTAAGCCCTAAACCGTCCTCAACGCTCAGCCAGCGCTCGTCGCTGAAGTCATCGTTGATGACGTCCTCCCCATGCACCGTCAACTTGAGATGTCGGGACCTTGGCGTTCTTAGGGTTGGGTTTAGGGTTTCGGAGTGGGTTTAGTGGTTTAGAGTTTGGGGTTTAGGGGTTCAGGAGGGTGAGTGGTATCTCTCGAGCTTGCTTTGGGCTTTCGGATTGCTAAGCAAAGGCTTTCGGCATGTTGAACCTGACACAAGTTGAAGTTCTGAAGTATGTTTCAAGGACATCTTTTCAACCTGCCCCAGACTGAGTTGCTCAGCGGTTCACGTAGCAGGTTACCGAGTTTGGAACAATAACAAACAACACTAGAAAATTCTACAAACGACAAAGACAGGCTCAGTAGGAACCGCCATAGCTTAAGTCCAAGAAAGCCCTGAATCCCAATACCTAATCCCTGTGACTGCACCCCTTAAGAAGCCAGTCAAGAGCAATCCAAAAGCCAACCACCGAACCATCAGAGATCAGTAGGACCCGCAAGGGCCCTTCAATTCAGCCCGTACGGTTGATGATATAAACCCTGCATTACCTTAAGGACGCTAAACTATGGGAATTATGGTCTATTATTTGCATCATCAACCGTATGGTGCTGATAACGGGATTTAGGATTTCAGGTTTAGGGCTTCTTCAGGTGCCCATGTCCCTTTATTGAGGAGTATGAGGATTATACTTATATCATATTAATTCGGCTTCCTACTACTATTTGAGGTACAATACGTATGGGTAAGGATATTGGAAGATCTGCGGACAACGTAAAGTATCAGGGAACTCAGTGCTTTCTGCTTTCGGTGTGGGGTTTGAAGTTGCTTGGAATTCTCGGACATCTGAGTCGAAGGTTTATGGAACTTAGTAAGCAAGTACTTATAAATAGGCTAGAAACAGAGTTGCATGTCGCCCAATGCCAAGTCGGGTTGTGTTGTTTATAGCTCAACTGATATAACCGATATATACCCCATACTTTTACTCCCTTCTAAACCCTCTGATCCTTTCAGACATGTGAAACACCGAAGCTTCAACCAATCCGGAGTCGTGGAAGCCAAGACCCGTAGTAAAACCCTTTCATACAGAAGCCCTCAGATTAACAGAAATTCTGAAACCCTGAACATCCCTGAACCTCACACCCTCCTGAACCATGAAACCTTAATCCGGACAACCCGAAGATGAAACGATTAAACCCTCAACTCCGCACCTTCAACCTCAAACCATGAACGCCCCAAAAATCCTCAACCTAGAAACTGTAACCCCCCTACCTGTATCCCCAAATACCCTAAACCTCAAAACAGTAGGTTTTGGGATCCCAAGGTCGCCCTAGACCTCAACTTGTCACGTCTGTTTCGTCGGAGTTCGGGCTTGGCTCCACTGCTGGCATCCCAAAACGGAACTACGCTGGAGCCGGGCGTCATGCCCGGCTCCAGAGTAGTTCCTTTTCGGGATTACCTTATAGGCTTCTAAATATAAGCCCCCAGAATAGCTACTACTCTGGATGGACAATATCCTGCATGACCCAATTTAGGGAATATACCATAATTCCCATAGCTTAGGTTGAGGAACTACCCCAGAGGGTCGGATCTACACTGCCATTTATGGAAGTAGGCCCCAAGAGTCCATCCAAATAACTAGGATGCCCGGTAACCTAGGAAAAAAAGAGGGCTCCCTGTTCGGTATTGGGTAACTTTCTAAAGAACCTAGGACTACAACAAGGGAATAAGGGTGCTACTGGGCATCCTAGATAATGGTTTTGGGGAACCTAAATTCCATAGTAATAGTATATATGGACAATCTTGCTTAGGTGTTCAGGGGTTTGGGTACGGGGTTTGTAGTTGGGCTTTCTGAGCTTTCATGATTTAGGCTTTAGGGTTATTGGGCCTAAGATTCTCAGGCTTAACGGTTGGGGACTTAGGGTTCGGGACTGTAGGGCCCGACCGCTGTGGAGGAGCTGAAAGGCCAGCTGCAAAGCGAGACTTCGCAGGCACTGATACTCGAATTATGGTTGATCTCGCTGGGCATGATCTTGGCGCCGGGCATCGCAGACAGGCAGCCTAGGGCACTCTGCCAGGCGTGACCCGCCTCGAAGGCGCTAATGCTGGCATTGAAAGTCACTTCGCTAGGGCTCAACCTTGCTTTCGGCATTTCTGATAGCAAAAATGGCGCCAACCGCCATTCACAAGCCTTCTCTCCAGCGCTGATACTGGCGTTGAAGCTGATCTCGTCTGGGACGAGGGTTGCAATGCGCATCTTCGAGAAGGCATACAAACCCATGCACCACTTTGAGCCCTTCTCGCTTGCGCTGATACTGCCATTGAAACTGATGTTGTCTGGAACCACTCTGGCTAAGAGCATTTGCGACAGCAGGAGAAAGGCAACTTGCCAGCCCCCTCCCTTTTCGCAAGCACTGATGCCAGCGTTGAAGCTAATCTCATTTGGCCTGACAGTAGCTGAAGGCATCTCAGACAGGAAGTGCAAAGCGAGCTGCCACTCGCTGCTCTTCTCACATGCACTGATACTGGCACTGAAGCTGATCTCATTTGGCGCCAGGCCCGATGTCAACATTCGCGATAGCAAAAGCACCGCGGTCTCCCACTCGCCCACCTTCTCGCATGCGCTGATGCCGGCATTGAAACAGATGAGATCGGGTACTAATCCTTTCGCTGGCATATCGGACAGCAAGTACAGGGCCATCTGCCATTCATTACCTTTCTCGCATGCACTCATGCCAGCACTGTAGCTGATCCTGTTTGGCAGCACTCGCTCTTCTAACATTTGAGACAGCAGGTGACAAGCTGCCTGCCACTCACCACACTTCTCGCAAGCACTGATGGCTGCGCTGAAGCTTATCAGATTGGGCATGACCCTTGCTGCCACCATGCTTGACAGCAGGAGGATGGAAAGCTCCCACTGGAAGCCTTTCTCGCAAGCCGTGATGGACGCACTGAAACTGTAGACTGTTGGTACAATCTGTGTGAGCAAAATTCCAGCCAGGACTTCAACAGCAGCCTGCCATTGCCTGGCTTCTGCACAACATGAGATCACCTCGCGACACGCCCTCTGGTCCCCCACGGCCGGAAGCGACTGCAGCAAGATGACAGCTCTCGCCCACTGCTCACTCCTACATGCTTCATGGATGCTCTCTGCCATTGCAGTCATAGGTCGAATTCAGTGTGTCTTTTCCCAGATACATCCATGAACTCAGGAGGGTACCTTAGATTTCCTTACTCTATGTTTTCGAGATCCTCCCAGAATGTAAGGCATACTTCTTCTTTCAGGTATGTTGGAAGATCTCGGTAGCCTTAACAACTAGACTAGGGCTTCTGGGTCTTGTTGTGGTATGTACTCCCAGGACTGACTATATATACAGAAGCCAATATTTCGATTATTCCGACCCCTGCTGTGTGTAAACCAGCTGCTAAGATGTCTGCGCTGCGATTGAACCGACGGACTCGGACTAAGCCTCACAGCATGAACTCAAACCCAAAACCTACCAGACATTTGGTGGGGGCATGTGGTTCTGGGGTGTAGAGTGTAGGGCTTAATTAGGATGGACGTGATGGGGTGAGCCGAGCTGACCGACGATAGTATTGTCTGTGCTACACTGTTTTCTTCCCTTCTCCACACGTGTTGGCATGCTGATGTTGAGCGAGAGAGCGCGAGAGAGAGAGAGAGAGAAACATTGCCTCAGACTTATTTACACACACATACATATACGCATACATATACACCTACAGAAACATTTCAAGCTATATATACATACATACACGGGTAGGTCTATACTTTTGTTTGTGTGTATATGTAAATAATTGTAAATACACATACGCATAGACATACATACACATACACATACACATACACATACACATACATGTACACGTACACATACCCATACCCATACACATACACATACACATACACATCCACATCCACATCCACATCCACATCCACGTCCACATCCACATCCACATCCACATCCACATCCACATGCACATGCACATGCACATGCACAGGCACATGCACATACACATAGACATAGACATACACATATACATACACATATACATATACATGTACTATATATCGGCAAGTGCAAATACGTATTCCCCAATCCGTAAGCGCCCAGTTTAGCGTGGGGTTTTAAGGTTTACTTGGAGTTCCATGGGTAGTTCTAAGTTTAGAGTATTCAGGGCATCCCTAGACTCGCCCTAGACTCGAGTCCGTAAGCTGTATCAGAATCCATCTCCCCTCAAAGGAACCCCGGCGGAATCCATCTCCGCTTTAAAGGAACCCTGGAAGCCTACAGGAATCCATGTCCTCTTTAAAGGAACCCTAGAAGCCAAAACGAATCCAGCTCCAGCGCCCTTTCGCTTCTGGGAGTCGGAACGTGAGCTTCGCTTGCACGTGTCGAGGCTCCGTTTCTCTGACGGTGGGCACCTCACGAGGAAACATGGGTATAGGTTTAGGTTTGAGGCTTTACGGTACAGGGTTTAGGGGGAAAGGATGTCAGGTTTAGAGTTTGAGCCACCTAAACTGCACGGCAGTTCCAAGCTCTTGTGAAGAGCCCTAAACCCTGAACCAACCCTCAGAGGAACCCTAAGAAGGTCGCGGTTCAAAACCCAAGTCGCCCTAAACTTTAAACTCTCTATCCTGAAACTCTAAACCGCTGAGCCGCCAAGCCTCAGGGACTACTTTAAGGCCAAAATAAATTCTATATGAGTACATGGACCCTAACCCTGAGGCTCTAAGGACTCATAATTTAAGGCTTTTTGGCCCAAAGGCCATACTATATAAGGCTTTTGGGCTATTTTGAGCCTTAGGGTAAGGCTTTAAGGGATAGGCGCTCATGAAGTTTGCGAAAGCCCGAAAAGGCTTTACTTTCCCTAATGGCTGGTCGACCCAGCTTCCCTCCAACACCTACCCACAGAAAACATGGAAGGACTCCATCCCCATAGACCCAACACATATCACCGAAGGATTCGGTTACCAGCCTTCGGTGTTCACGGTTTAGGGGCTTAGGGTTTAGGGCACGGAATCACCTCTGGCTGACCGGAGTCGAGTATCCCTGTGCTCGGGGTTCGGAAGCTTCAGTTCTACCTCTAGTCTCCACTGTAGTTCCTTTTTGGGTTTAAGCAATATGACTTATTCGAATCCTATATGGTAGCCCCCGACAGGAGCTGCAATGGAGACTATAGGTAAGACTGCAACCTTCTACGATTTCGCTGGGCATCTCGTAGCAATTCGATGCTTCTTTACTGATGCAAGGCTAGTCTGCAGAGGCCACCCACACAAAGTCACTTTGCGAAGGGTTTGGAGGATTTGGCTGTGAGACAAAACTCAACACAGGAAGCATTTGCACTTGCACCTCCAACTGCACGCAGTCTCGAGTGAAGCCATCGTCGTCCTGCTAAGCTCCAACTTGCCCAAAGGGTCCTATGTACTGTTAGGGGGATGTACTGTTAGGGGGGATACTCCCCTAAGTCATAATAGTATTGCCGAATATGGAAACCCTACATTCTACTATTATCGGTACATAGGACCCTTTGGGTTGCAGATCCTAAGCCGCCTGCAAGAGTTTAGGATTGAGGGTGTAGAGTTCCTAGCTATTGGAGCGTCTGTACTGTTGCAGGGGGTTCGTTATGCTACGGGTCCAAGTGCCCAAAAAGTGGGGTTCTCGAGTTCTAGCTCTCATGCAGAGAGTACGCACTGACTGATGTTGCTTTGTGATACCAAAACACAAATACGTATCGGAGCACTTGGACCCTTAGCGTTAAGCTACCAGCCAGCCTCAAATCCTATACCCTCAACCCCTAAACCCTGAACCCCAACCCCTAAACTCCAAACCCCAATCCCTAAACCCCAAACCCTAAACCCCAAACCCTATCCCCTAAACCCCAAACCCTAAACCGTAAACCCCTAAACTCCCTAAACCCTAAAATCCGACAGCGTGACAGACAGCTCTCTAGCACCAGAGTCCCAAGAGCCGGTAGCTCGATCCGACCCTACACAAAAACCCCAAAGGAACCTCAAAAGGAACCCTCACGGAATGCTAAAGCAACCCCTAAAGGAACCCTTAAAGGAACACCGAAAGGATCCCTAGAAGGGTTGAGGGGTTTGGGTTTAGGCTCAGGGTTCAGGGTTTAGGAAATGGAGGTTGGATTCAAAATGTTGGCCAATGTATGTACTATAAGTTTAGCCCAAAGGGTCCATGCACCCAATTAGCAAATACATTTTGTGCTAAAGCTATATAGGCACTTTGGGGACAAAGTTTATACTGTTTGAACCAAAGTCGCCCCTTCGATGTTGTACTTAGGATTTAGGGCTTAGGGCTAAGGGCAGCACAAGCATCCGCAGGGGTCCAGGATCCGAGTATCTAGGTACTTCGGTTTGGGATAGTAGAAGATTTGTAATTACCTATAGTCTCCATTGTAGTTCCTTTTAGTTTAACCAATTATATATTAACGATCCTATAAGGCAACCCCAAAAAGGAACTACAATGGAGACTATAGGTAGGTTACTATTTGTGAGATAAATATTAGATGTTTGGACCCTTAGGGTATGTGCAAGAACAGCTGGACGCTTCGGTCGGCGTGGTTGGTTCTATGTACCAGCAACTATGCGCAAATGTTTACATCGACATACAGAAACAAAAGACATATATATATATATACATATACATAGACTACATACTGTCTACACTATACATATTCTACTCTCCACCTAACAATTTTAAACCCGAAAACCCAATCTACACCTAAAAGCAGAACTCTACCCGATGCCGCCAACCGTATGAAGCCATGCCTTAAACCTTAGAATAAACCCTACACCGCGCCCCAGCTAACCAACTCTAAAGCTTCCCTTGCTCCGTAATAGGGGCCTCAATAATTCGAATAATGCACTAGAAGTTTAACACACACACACACACACACAAATACCATGAACGACTTCATGAACCCTGTTCAGCCAACCCACTGAACCGTCAGAGGAAGTAGACACCGTAGTCAAATTCCCTATCAAACAAATCACAACAACCTATACTGCGACGTCCTCCATGAGAGGTGTTCTCCAATTCTAAATTACTGTCCCCTGTTGGTGCACGCATAGCACGGCACTCTTGTCAAAAAGATCATCAAAGGGACCCTACTTTAGAGGATTGCCGACCAAAAAACTACACGACCCTGTGAAAGCACCGGCAGTATACTGCGAAAAACAAGGCTCCCTTTTTGGCATTTGGTACTTTTACAAGGAACCTAAAGCTAACCAAAGCGAAAGACGGCCCACTAGGAGACCGAGCAGCAACACGGGAAAAGAGCATCATAGGCGAACTGGAGGCTAACCTCTGGGGTTATATAGGGAATATAGTACCCCAAAAAGGGTTGAAGGTTACCCTAAACCTTAGACTATTCCTGCCTCGTCCACTCCGAAGCTCCAGGTGTAGTTCTGGAATCTCTTTTCCAGCCGCTTCCTCCCAAAGAACCGGTGAAACTCTACCCTAAGCGTCTTTTGTGCGGACTCTACAAGGGTTCTCTGAGGAATTGTAGGATCTCAGTGGGTGTTATAAAGGGTTTTCAATGGTTTCAAGGTTCCAAAGGACACAGTAACTAGATCCTTGGCCGTAGTAATGTAGGTTACTGTGTTTCGTTGGAGGGGGAGGTCTGTGATCTGTGGGTACTTTGACACTCAAGGTTGAGGCTAACAGGAGAGTGCTAGTAGGATCTCTATACGGTTCCTCTAAGGGGTGGAGTTCATTGATTAGGGTTTGGGGCATTAGCTTCATGGGTTTGAGGGTCTGCGTGGCTTACGTGGTGCATGTTGGGACTAGGGTTTCGGGGCTTTGAAGGGTTCATAATTTAGGGCTCTAATCGGGCTCTAAGCTTTTAGGATTTCATGCCGAAGAAACAGGGGATGGCTACTCGCGTTGGGGCGGGACCTTCAAACCGGACAGCCCAGCTTTTTCTACTTTGTTTGAAGGTTGAAAACCATCCAAGGTCTTTTGTAGTAGTGCATCCCCTCAAAACTGAAACCCTAGAACCTAGTCCGTCAACTTTAGACCCTGCTGTAACCCCCTATAAATGCAAATCATAACAAGGAAGCCTAAACAGGCGGTTTCTATACGGCCCAGGTAGGCCCTAAACATCACCACCTCATGCGTCCTGGGATCGGTCTTCTCAAGGAATGCCTCCCATTCGTCCTTCGCTTCACGATTCAATCGGTGTTTAAGGTTTACGATTTTCGGGCTAAGGGATTCTGGAAAAGTTGGTGCATTTTTCATCTATAGGCGCTTGCTCATTTGATTCAGATGTTTGGGGTTTCGACGGGTTTTAACTGTTGTCGCGGGCCTCCCACGAAGGCTCAGGCCTTAAAGGGTTTATGGTGATCTATAGCACTACCTGGGCATGCAAACACCTCCTGTTCTAAGGGAGTTATACCGCTATACCCTCTAAATCCCTCTAACTAAGGGGTCATAACCTACTATTTAAGTCGTGTTTAGGGATACAGGCGCACCATAGACCTTCAAACGGCCGTAAACTCCACGGTGTAGGTGCAACGGTGTTTGGGAAAAGCAGGGGTTTCGGAGGTAAGACACAAGCCTCTTCGTGTCCATGACAACAGTCTCAACAATTGTTTAGGGTTTAGGGGTTCGGGCCTTTAACGGGTTCTACAGAGTTGTATAGGGGTGCAGCGTAAGCCTCGAGTCTAGGAACGAAGGTGCTGCGGTTTATTGCGGCTGTATGTCAATGGAGGCTTCCAGGGCGGTCAATCTGCGAGTTCTGCGGTGATGCGGTACCTTATTTTGGGGTCATTGTAACAAATTGCAACAAGGATTCTATTATTTAGGGTACTATATTGGGGTCCCTGATTTTCGGAAACACTCCCGTTTAACTTAAGAGGATCCTTCACAATCTGCTTGGCAGCTGCAAGGCTGCATGTCGTTGTCATGCGATGCTGCAGTGCTTCTAAGTGATTACACTGACGATGCTGCAGGCTGTCGTTCCTGCGAATGCACCAAAACAAACAAACCATCAAACACACACACACATATATATATATATATAAGTGTATATATATATATATATATATATCTATATATACATATATGTATATATGTAAAAATATATAGCCAACCAGCCAAACGAACAAACAAACGAACAAACGAGCAAACGAAGCAACCAACGTTCGAACGAACAGACAAACAACAAACAACAAATAAACAAGCAAACAAGCAAAACAGCAAACGAGCAAGCAAGCAAGCAAGTAAACACAACATAAACAGACACAGAGACAAATGCACAGACGCGGACTCACACACACACACACAACAAACACACACACACACACACACAGACACACACACACACACACAGACACACACACACACACACACACACACACCCACACCCACACCCACACGCACACGCACACGCACACGCACACGCACACGCACACGCGCACACGCACACGCACCCGCACCCGCACACGCACACGCACACGCACAAGCACGCCCACACACACATACACACACCCACACAAACACAAACACAAACACAAACACAAAGACAAACACACACACACACACAACACAAACACAAACACACACAAACACACACACACACACACACACACACACACACACGCGCACTCACACTCCTTTCGCTCTGTTTCCCTCTCTCTCTCTCTCTCTCCATCTCTTTTCCTGGTGTGCTGCAGATTTCCTGCATCCTGCAGCTTCGCCCGAAAAACTGCAAGGTCCAATGTCGTCAAGTTCAGCTCAAGCCTGCCTTTGTTTGCCTTCTGAACCTCGGCAGCTATGCCATGGCCTTTCAGCCTGCCAAGGACAAAAGCTTGAACATCAGACTCTTGCCAAATCGGCCTTGACTTGCCCCAGCCCGTGATGATGATGCAGCGGCTGTGTTTCTTGGAGCTGAGCTGTGGCGGCAAGACTTCCAGCAACCACCACCTCACAGCCATCCAGCCAGCACCGGCCGACGTGCCATGTAAGTCAAGCAGAGTAGGGCCGTTGTGGCATAAGTTTCCATACAGCCCAGCCTGTCGAGCCTGCAGAAAAAGCTCATATGCTTGATCCCATGCCTTGCTACACGCTGCCTCCAACACAGCATTGTAGCTGATGACATTGGCATCCACCTTGGCTTTGCACATGCTGCCGAACACATGCACCGCCATCTGCCACTGCCCACCCTTCTCACAAGCGCTGATGGTGGCATTGTAGCTGATGACATTGGAATCCACCTTGGCTTTGCACATGCTGTCGAACAGATGCACGGCCATCTGCCATTGCCCACCCTTCTCACAAGCGCTGATGGTGGCATTGTAGCTGATGACATTGGAATCCATGTTGGCTTTGCACATGCTGTCGAACAGATGCACGGCCATCTGCCATTGCCCACCCTTCTCACAAGCGCTGATGGTGGCATTGTAGCTGATGACATTGGAATCCATGTTGGCTTTGCACATGCTGTCGAACAGATGCACGGCCATCTGCCATTGCCCACCCTTCTCACAAGCGCTGATGGTGGCATTGTAGCTGATGACATTGGAATCCATGTTGGCTTTGCACATGCTGTCGAACAGATGCACGGCCATCTGCCATTGCCCACCCTTCTCACAAGCGCTGATGGTGGCATTGTAGCTGATGACATTGGAATCCATGTTGGCTTTGCACATGCTGTCGAACAGATGCACGGCCATCTGCCATTGCCCACCCTTCTCACAAGCGCTGATGGTGGCATTGTAGCTGATGACATTGGAATCCACCTTGGCTTTCCGCATGCTGTCGAACAGGTGCACAGCCATTTGCCACTGCCCACCCTTCTCACAAGCGCTGATGGTGGAACTGTAGCTGATGCCATCGGCATCCACCTTAGCTTTCCTCATGCTGTCGAACAGGTGCACGGCCATCTGCCACTGTCCACCCTTCTCACAAGCGCTGATGGTGGAACTGTAGCTGATGACATTGGCATCCACCTTAGCTTTCCTCATGCCGTCGAACAGATGCACGGCCATCTGCCATTGCCCGCCCTTCTCACAAGCGCTGATGGTGGCATTGTAGCTGATGACATCGGCATCCACCTTGGCTTTCCTCATGCTGTCGAACAGATGCACGGCCATGAGCCACTGTCCACCCTTCTCACAAGCGCTGACGGTGGCATTGTAGCTGATAACATCGGCATCCACCTTGGTTTTCCTCATGCTGGCGAACAGATGCACGGCCATCTGCCACTGCCCACCCTTCTCACAAGCGCTGATGGTGGAACTGTAGCTGATGACATCGGCATCCACCATGGCTTTTCTCATGCTGTCGAACAGATGCACGGCCATCTGCCATTGACCGCCCTTCTCACAAGCGCTGATGGTGGCATTGTAGCTGATGACATTGGAATCCACCTTGGTTTTCCGCATGCTGTCGAACAGATGCACGGCCATCTGCCACTGCCGCCCTTTCTCACAAGTGCTGATGGTGGCATTGTAGCTGATGACATTGGCATCCACCTTGGCTTTCCTCATGCTGTCGAACAGATGCATGGCTAGCTGCCAGTCTCTCACCCTTGCACAGGCACTGATACCCGTCGTGAATTCTCTCGAGCTTACTGTTGCACCACCGGCTTCGAGAGTCTCTGAAAATACTATGCCAACCAGGTCGAACCGCTTTTGCTCCTTGAGCTCTTGCATCGTGGAGCGGAGCGTTTTGTGATCCAGCCGGTGTCGGGCCAGAACCTGGTGTATATCTTCCCGAGCAGCTCGTGGCTTGAGCTTTAGCAGTTGCTCTATGATGTCGCTGGGCGGAGTATTCCGGGCCCTCTTCGCACGCACAGCCGCGGAGAACGACCGGATGCACATGTGGACGCCTTATCCCTAGAATCACTATAGTGCCTTTTGGACCCAGTATGCACCCTCATACAATTATGTAGCCTAGCAGTGATAGCGTAGTAACCCATTGTTAAGTAGCCCGGTTGATTAATAATAGGGTGTGGCATGACTTGGTTGCCGGACGTTTAGCGTTTAGGATTTTGGGGATTAAGGTTGGGTGTAAGAATTGTGAGTTTAGGGTTGGGCGCAGCTGAAAAAAAACGGCCGGTGGCAGTGAATGCACATGCCTGCCGCACAAGTCGATCGGAGAAGGACTTAATTACCCAATCTCCTTTAGGCCATCGTCAGGAATTCTCGGATACACCCACAAGACCCAAAACCAGACCAAAATTTAAGCAAGTTGATAAGAAAGCTTTAAGCTGACCCTGAACCCTGAACCAAATCGGCATCTAGTTTCGGTAGGATGTTGTGAGGGCATTTATATGTGCAGGGATTTAGGGCCTGTGCCGTCGAAGGTTTGGGGCTTCGAGGCTTAGGCTTTTCTACGATTCAGGGTTTTGGGATTTCGGGTTTAGGATTCATGGCATTGAAGGGTTTAGGATTCTGGGTTTTGGATGTCGGGTTTGCGGCGGGGTTCGGGAAGTCGAGGGTTTAGTAGCTTCTCTGCGGTCATCGCTAAGAAGCCTCTTCGGGTGCTGGAGAAGCTGAGCGTCTCTGTTGAAGCCTGCACGCACGCCGTATACACCCCATATCTTCCCTCATCAAACTCCTACCTGTCGGGTATAATGGGGAACTAAAGGTTAACCTTTTTGGCTGTATAGGGATTATAAAGAGACCATACTACCCCAAAAAAGGTTCAAGGTTACCTACTCTACTACTAGGAACTTGTTCGGGAGCTGAAAACAAACCCCAAACAGTCGACCTTGGAGAAGCTAAACCCCTCATGACATCCCATAAGTTGCCGGTAATTCGAAGCGTCCTGCAGGCGGCGGCGCTTGCCAAAGGAGAAGCATGCGAGTAAACAGAAACTACCACTCGCTTATCATCGCTTGGTCAGACGCAGCATGTTGGGCTGCCGCGGCTGTCACAGGCAGGAAGCCACAGCGAGCAGACGGGACTTCTCGACCCCTGCGTGCCAGGGAAAAACACTCCTGCTTCGCTTGCTCTTTCCATGCCGGTCGGCAGTGACAGATTCCTGGCCAGTCCAATGTTGCGGCCTTAATAATTAGAATAGGGTTTTGGGGCCCACTATACTATGATTATACTAAGGAACCTCCAAAACAGTATTGGCAATTATTAAGCATAAAGGCCCTGAAATCAACAGCCCGTATAGACCCCTTTAAAGAAACCCTAAGGACAAGTATAAATAGTGTTTACAGCCCCTATATTACCCAGAGGCCCCAAAGTAGTTCCTTTTTGGGGTTCATATCTATACTCCTATAGGGCAATCCCAAAAAGGAACTACTTTGGGGCCTATGGGCACCTTAACCCCAGATAGCTTACCTTCGGACATATATCAAGACATGAAAATTGGGATACAGGTAGGGTTTAGATTACAGGAGTTTGTCGGCCCCTATATTAGATCGCACCTGACCCTGATCTTCGCCGTCAAAGTCCAACAGCCTGTGGACCCGGCTGAGCAACAGGCGACTGGGCTCTTATTGAGGAATTTGATCTAAGTTTATCATAAGGGTTCCTTCAATTCAAGGGATCTGTAAGGTTTCCTTTGCGGTTTAGGGTTCAGAAGGTTTAAGTTACCGTAGTCGGGATCTATAGTAGCTCACAATATGGTTTCCTGATTGTGGGAACTTAACTGAAACCCTTTTAACAAGAGCCCAGATGACCGGCAGCAATGCGGCATAGCCGGGTGGCTAGTTGGCTCCATGCACCTATATAACATATACTGAGGCCTTGAAGCACCTATCTAGGAATCTCTTTAACACCCTGAAGTACAGTACCTACACAGGAACTCCTTTTCAGGCCTAGGTGTATACTGCATACTTAATGGGCCCATGGATTGGTTAAAGGCCACAGCCACAGCCAGAGGTCGGGGCTCCCGCAGAAGGTCGGCGAAAAGACTGGTTCCTAGAAGATCCCTATAACAAAAACTAAAGAAACCATAGGCTGTCTTCTCCAATAACCGGGCCCAAAAAAGTTCGAAGCTCTCCCATTGACCCGAGAAAGGAACAAATCGAAAAGGCAGCTTGGGATTTCTCTTAACCTTAGGGTCCATGTATCCAAATCGTATATACTTTGGCCCGAGAGTACTAGTACTCCCTACATGAGTACATACGGGCCAAAGTAGACAGTATACTGATACTATTGGGGCGCATGGACCCTTGGCTCCCTCAGGACATCGACTCAGAAACCCTCTAAGCCCAAGAAATCGAAAGCCCGGGTCCTCGTACTCGAACTCCGGCTGGATAGCCATGGGAGCACAGGATGCGAAGCTGGGGTTGCTGTCGTGGCCTTAATAATTAGAATAGTCTTCTGGGCTCCTTTATGGTACTCATACGGTATTCATATAACCCCGTCATCGTAGTACTATAATAAGGAACCCTACGGAAGAGTTGCGATGATTTTGGCCTCTGTATTGCACTTGTCGCGTGTTGGTGCCGGGGTTTGCGTTAACTCCACAAGCTATTCATGAGCGAGTAGTCCTGAATCTTAGCAGGGTGTTTTCACAACGTACACTTGGTTAAGAGACGCGCTGGACTCGGACGAGTCACTTCATTATTCACAGTTCGGAAACACGACGGACCATTCTCAGGTAGTGTAACTGTTGGGACATTGATTGGGGTTCGGGCAACATACCCGACCAAACCTACCGTGAAGCACATACTTCCGAGTCCTGAACTAACAAACGGTGGCGGCGACAGATAGCCACTCGACTCAGTCACGATAGGATTTTAGGGTTTAGGGTTTCGGGCTTAGGGTTCCAGGGTTCAGGTTCAAGCCCTGCAATGAATAAATCAGGTTTGTGCACGGACAGCGCGGTTTGCACCAGCACATGCCGTGGCTTCATCGGGGTCTGGACCCTAAGGCTCCATGTATCCTTATATATGTACTGAGGCCTTAAAGTACCTATACATATATAGGGACCCCTTTAAGGCCTAAGTATCCACTATAATGGTACATGGAGCCTTTGGGGAGTTTTGTGTTCATAGAAAACTTAGGGGTCGGAGTTTAAGGTGCAGAGTTTAAAGTTTCGCAACTTCGGCGGACAATTTCAAGCGAGCTCTTTTTGTTCTCCTTGTCCTCAGGGCCTTTTGCCAACCGAGATCAGGAGCTAACGGCAATTCGCACTCTTGTGTGGGTATGGGGTCTGATGACGAATCCATATCTCTGGGCATAGCTGATATGCCATGACTCAACGGTTTAGGGTATAGGGTTTCTGGAAGACAAATTGATGGTTCGGGGCTTGTGGCCAAGGGGTTGGAGGGACTGTTTGTCTGGGGGTTAAGGCTATCGCAGTATCCCGGGCTTGAGGCTATTATGACTCGAATTGGCAGAAGGGGCTTTGCCCCTTCCACGCCACGAAGGACGTGAGACTGCCGATATCGCTGTGGCGTATGAGGCCTGCTGTTATTCACGCGAGATCTTCAAGAACATGCTGAAGGGAAAGTCGTACATGATCGGTCATGGCACATCCGTTGTTAACCGCCTAAACTACTGCCAACTTGCCTAAGTATCCACCGGCACGAACATGTCGTATTCCATTCTGAAATCTGGGTCGTCAAGAAGGATTGCGCTCAGAGTTGGTGTAGCAGCGCCTGCCTGAGACATCTTTCGTAGCCAAGCACCCTAAAACCAAACAACAACCCCTTCACTCTAAGTTACTTACCCCTGAACCCTGAACCCTCTCAGTCGCTTGATGAGGGTAAGGTGACTTTGGCAGTGCTAGGTAGAAATATACAGCATGATAAGATGCAGTTTATGGATTTTGTGTTGGGTTTGCGTGCTTTGCTTGCCACATAGCGTTATGGTGCCCCGCTGAGTGTTCTGGGTATGCCTTAGGTTGGTTTCAGATAAGTAGAAGTATGGGTTCTAGCATTGGCTTTCGGGTTTACGGTTTAGGCTTCAGGACTACTAGGGTTTAAGGACAAACCCTTCCACAAGATTAGGTTATGAGAATTCAAAAGTTTACGGGAGATTCTGAGCGTACGTTGTTCACATATTCCGCCGGTCTTTCTCGGAATCCTAGAAGAGGCTTGTCGGTAAGCTTACGTTTTCTTGGAAAGTGTTCTAAGGTCTTTAAGGAACTGCACAGGTCATTAAACTCGGCTCTGCAGTGTGTGCTTTAATCAATTTGTAGGTAGGCTGGAGACCCCCCCCCTGTCTTTACTGGACCTATATGGTATGCAGTTGGCAAGGGATACAAGTACAATATTGGGGCCATGACTGGGAGTTCGCTTCTTCGTGTTGGAACACCCAGCTGATGCAGAACCTTCCGCGCGTTGTCCTACTCGATCGCGACGAAGCAGGGCTTGTGCTCGTCCTTGATGGATTCCACTGTGATCTTCATCCCGACCTCTGGGTCCAGGGCATCCGGCGTGAAGCTTCTTGAGCTCCACAGCAACGGCCATAGCACCCCCCCCACGGCGGCCATGTCTTGAGGTGTTAAGGAAGAGGGGAAGAGCAACAAAGCGTAGATAACTCGGGTCTCAGCAGCGGCAATGATACTAATGGCATTGCTAGCGCTGACATCATCGATAATGTCAAAATGGTGATGAAACAGCAATGGCAACATCTGTAAGGCCAATCCTAAACCCCAAACAAAGGCATAGCACTGGCATTGTAATTACTGCACACATGCAAACCAGAATCATCATCAGGCAGATGGCCTCCATCTACCCATGAGCATGATCACGGCAATCATTATGGCATTATGGAACTTGGTTCAAGGTTTCATGTTGGTGTAGACATCAACATGGACTTCAGATCATCACTGCCCAATATCGTCACCACTCTCACCAATCGGACAGCAACCGAATTGAATTCGCAGAAGCTGTGGTGCACGAAGACAAGAGCAGTAGGAACGATCACGATTACAACAGCTTATGACAAACAGCAATCTTACATGCCACGAAGCATAATTACCAAGACGAGCCCCTGAAGCCTGAACCGCTAGCAACAGTTCCCTGGCGCTGGTTTGACCGGGCGAACTGCTTGACCTGGATCGTCCGTGGGTCAGCCGACTAGCATAAGCAGGGAAACAAATCCGGAATCTTATGTCTCCACCTATGCGCGCAGACTCAGCCAGTGCCAGAGCCAATACAGCTCAAGAACACATCAACTCCGAGTAGCCACACGATCCAAGAGCCATTTCCTATAAGCGCTGGGTGGCTATCTGGACTAACCCTAAACCCTAAACCCCCCCCTTGATCCTAACCTCGCAACCCGAGCTTTAGGACGATTTGGGCCTGGGGGTTCCATTGAGGGCTTAGGGGTCAAAACGAGTCTTTCGTTGGTAAACTTTAGGGTTTAGGGTTTAATCTCCCTGCTTGTCGGGTATCATTTTGGAACTAAAGGTTAACCTTTGTGGGTACATAGGGATTATATAGTAGGAACTATACTACCCAAAAAAGGTTAAAGGTTACCTACTCTGAGAAACTAATCACTAATCTTGGGACGAGCAACCAACCAGCCCCTAAGCCTTAAACCTAAACTGCTCTGAACAGCAACCCCTGAAACAACTGAGAGAAGACCATCCACACATTCCTACAGTCCCTCAAGCCAGAAATCCATGAGTCGGTATGGCTCCAAAGACCTGTCAAGGAACGACCTTGTGTCCTAAGCCCTACCCTAAACCCCTAAACCCTTCTGGTACCGAAGCCCTAAACTCTGAACCCTAAATCCCGAAGCCCTAAACCCGAACAGCTTCATCGCCAACCTCGTCGTCTTGATTCTCTTCCGCTTCTTCTGCGCTCTCTTCGTCGACGCTGCGTCGCCGGGCCTTGGTGACCCTAGGGTGTAGGTTAAAAGGTTTCGGCAGCATCCCTATAAATCCTGTATTCGGCGTCTTTTATAAGAGCCTGAAAGATAAATCCTAAACCTAACCATAAAACCCAAAAGCTTCTGGTCTTTCTTGGGATAAGACTTCTAGCGTCTAGGGTTGTTGGGTTTCGGGTGTTAGGTCGTTGAGTTTTATAGAGTTTAGGGTTCCTTTCAGGGTTCCTTTAAGGGCTCCTTTATAGGACCCCTACAGATTCCTTTCAAGGAACAAACACAGGATGTATTTCGTTGCTAAAAGTACCTTTAGAGTTTAGGGGGGTCGAGGGGTCCGATCTATGGCCTTCCAATGTTCATTGGGATGTCTGCTGAAGACAATTTGGGCCTCCTCCTACTTGTCGGGTATCAGGGGGAACTAAAGGTTATCCTTTTTGGGTATATAGGGATTATATAGGGACTATACTACCCAATAAAGGTTAAAGGTTACCTACTCTACTCCTTGAATGAGTAGTGACAGGCAGCTAGGGTTAGAAGTGCCCTGACTGCGAAATCAGCTGACTGTAATCGAAGCTGTACTGACCAACCTACGGACAGCTACCCATGAACCCATTAGCATGGACAGTACAACTCCAGAACCCACAGATTTTAAACAGACTTTGAATTCCCAGGCTATCGTGACTACTAGGAGTTTGCAGGGCAGGAAGCGGTCTTGATGCCTCAGACCTGACATAAGCTTGTCTTGGGCGTTGGGTGCCCCGCAGAGTTGTATTCGGCATAGTTGGAGGTCGAGCAAATCAGGTGCTAACCATACTATATACATGTACACTATCCTTCGTGCCAGATAACTGGTGGTCGCTAGCAGTGAATCAGACTTTTAGCCCATAGGCATCAAGTCAACATAAGCCCGGCAGGTTTCAGGGCAATACTCAAGTTTTCAGTCCAAAGGCATGTGCAACCGCAGTATCTGGGTAGTTGGAGCCTTACCCGTAGGCTCTAAGGACCCATATTCTAAGGCCTAAGGCTTTTGGGCCCACAGACCATACTATGTAAGGGTTCTGCTGCTATTTTGCACCTTCGGGTTTGGGAAAGTGTATAAAGCTTAATGAAGCCTAAACCCTGTACCCCTCGACCCTATAACTTTGTTACGGGTTTGGGTAGCTGACGACCCGCCATAGTCTGCTTCTTCAGTCGGCTCTACGATCCCAGCTCTAACCAGCCCGCCCAGAAGCCCTGAGAGCCCAACACCCCTTATGAAAGGAATATAACGTTTAGGGGTTTATATAGGGTTTAGGAGCCGAAATATGCCTTGAACTGTGGGGGCCTTTAGATTCTGTTTCAGTTTATATAATGTCTATTCCTCAATTACTCCGTGGTTCTCAACCCTGAGGGACTACTCTAGGGATCCATTACCCCATTGTTAAGCGACAGGGAGATACACCTAAAATCAGAATGGTAAGGCCACTATAGTTGAAGGTGTGTTCCTTAATCAAGGAGTATTGGCTTTTGGAGAGTGCTCTAGGTCCAAGCTTTTATCATCAACCATTGTTATATACGTTGCTGAGGCCACAGAGTCTGCTTGCCGAAGCCGCAAACCGGGACATAAACTGGTCATGGCAGTCAGTGATGGCACAAACCAGGTTCCTGCAGTTGATACCAAAGAATCTTTACAAACCCCAACCCCCTAACCAGCACCCTTCTCGCACGATTGCATGGCTCTTGAAACACCTTTAAACAATCCCGTAAACCATCCCCCCCAACACCCCAAAACCAGAGTTTAAACAGCAAGCTAGGCCTAACATGTGTGATCTGTGGCGTGGTATGAAGGATGTGGTTATGCAGGGTTCAGGGGTTGAACAGATTCAAGAAAGGGGCTTTGGATCCAAGACCTCTACACCCCTGAACCCCGAGAAGGCGTAAACCCTGAACCTCTTCCCCAAAACCCTCAACCTGTTGCCCTAGATCCTAAACGCTAAGCACTAAACAACATAAGCAACAACAATCAGCCCAGATGCTGTGCTCAGCTCGCGGAGGAACTGTGTCTTTGCCTTGCTCGGAGTGCGGCGCACCTCAGTCACTGCAGGGTTCTACAGTAGAAGCCCCACAGTTGGAAACCCAATAGCCTCAATCCTTAAGAGTAATGTAAAGGGAATCCCAGCCCTTTTTCGCCTTAATCCGGCTTCCAACTTCATGGGGTTTTCTCTAGAAGGGGCTTCGGCTCACTGTGTAGGGGCTTGGGTTTGGGGTATAGGGTATACAGCAGGGATTAGGGGTTGAGTGGGGTTTAGTAAAGGTTTGATGCGGACTCCTTGAAGTATAACAGGGATGGAAAAACTGATTATAAGTAGTTTTTTGGAAAGATGATCATAACCCATAATCGCCCACTTCTTGTAAGCATTGTGAGAATCTGGAAAGGCCTCGTCTCGGCAGCGCTTAGAATGTTCAGTGCAGCACTGGAGACCCCCTTGCGGCTTGGAGTTTCATATAGGGCTTGGCATAGGGTTAATGTATGGTTTTCCCTATAGAGTCCATGAGTCGATGCACCTGTATTGTAGGACAGCGCAGTGGGGCTCCCCAGGCTTCAAAATTACGGCCTACGTATATACAGTGTATATAGAGGTGATATAGGGGCCTTTAATTAGAATGGGTTTTGGGACCCGCTATGCTGTTTTCATAATACGGAACCCCCAAAATAGCATTGGTAACTACTTAGGTCCCTATATTGCACATCAACGTAAGCAAGCTATCGGAGAGGTGTCTCATCCGTTCTTCCTGCCGCCTGCAAAACCCTCAACGCCTCAACGCTGCATCCGCTTGAAGGCCAAGCAGCGGCGCGCTCCGACCAAAGGTCCTGTGAACGAAGACACAGACACACACGCGCGCCCACACATACACACAGAGACACATGCTCTATAGCATGCCGCTGGACCGGTTGAAGTACAAAACGCATGCGAAGAGTCTTCCAAACATGGATAGCGCGCATTGCTTAGGTACTTCATGATATGTCTGGGTTTGCAACCATTTCCGAGAACCGCAGAATCGGCAAGCTTGTGAAAACCCTTCCAACCCACGAACTCCAGAATCTAGAATAGAAACCTTTGCAGCATGAACACAACCACAAGCATGACAGCATCAATGACAGCTAGGTCCTGCTGGAACCATTCGAGAATCTCGGCACGGGACCTTGCAAGCAACAGTTTCCAAATAGTGATGGGGTTAAGATTCCACACAGCAGCCCCACCGCCACCGCTTAGGAAGTGCCTGTCGCCCATGAGCGTCAGGGTCATGGCTTCGGCTTCTTGCTTTGGTAAGTGCCTGTTCTGGCTTCCACTATAAACCCTATGCCCTAAACCCTCAACCCTAAGCCTTGAACCCGGTATACCATGCAAGTCGGAAAAATGGTAATATCAGTTCATAGGGTTCCTTTGTAGAATCACACTGCAATGCACTCCATAACCATACTCTTTATTAAGGGCCCCGGGGTTCCTCTGTAGCCCCATAATAATCAGGGGATCCTCTTTGCTACTATTTGGAGTTATTAAGGGGACCCCGACCCCAAGAAACAGCAAAGGGCACCACTGGATACCCTAGCCCTAAAGTCAAACCGGAAGCCCTAAACCCCAAACCCTGTCCCGATACTACTGCGCTCCGCTAAACCCCAAACCCCATATCCTCAGTAGAATAACACTATACTGCACCCCAAAACCCTCTTCTGCATTAAGGCCTCGATATCACTGAGCTCCCCGGGCTTCTTGGGTGGCATGCCCATCCAGTCCCCGAGGTGCCGCAGCTCCTTGACAGTAAGGAGACCTTTGCCGAAGTGTGCGTTGCCCTAAACCCCAATACTCTTGAATTAAGGAATAGACCGTTAACTATTGCGGGCCTTAGAGTTTAGAAATATTCCCAATTAATAATTAAGGGGTATTGGGCTCTCTGGGTAAGCCCAGTCCCACACAGAATGATAATCTTGATTCCGCTTCAAAGCCTGAGCCACCAAAAAGTCCTGTGTACTGGATTCTTCCCCAAATCATAATAGGAACTCCGAAAATAGGTTCCCTACAGTGTATAGTAAATATATATATATATATATACACACATACATACATACATACATATAGGTAATTTGAACCCTTTGCGATGGCTTTGTCAGGCGTTGGCAAATCTGTTGATGGCGGGGATCTGATTGAGTCCGGTCCTAAAAGGCTTTACAGTAATTAAGTAAAATCTGTGTTTTTGCTTCGGGGTCTTCGGCTTTTTCGGGGCTTCGGAGTTGTGAAGAGCTCACAGAGTCCTAGGGTTCCTTGTCAAATGTAACTGAGGGCTTCGAAAGCTCTGGGGCCCGAATAGTTCGGCTAGGTTGTGGGAGGGTGGGATTCTAATTAGTATAGTTCTACAGAGATTCCAAGAGAATGCCTGTTGCTGCTTATTTGGAGCACTATATTTGCGGCAGGGGTCAGTGAAAGTCGTGCAAAACAACCCAACTGCTCCCAGGAACTTCATCACGGACAGGCTATAGGGGTGCCTAAGCAGTCACGAAAAGGTCCCTTCTCTAACATCCCTGCTAAGCCAGTCGCAGGATTGAGGGCGGTTGGCCAATTTATCAAGGGTGTACTTCAAGCATGAGAGGCCTACCAGGAAGGGATTGCAGAAACAACTGTTTCTTCAGATTGGTGGGGGCCCGTTGGTAGCATGCCCCATATGCAGAATTTCGATATCAGAGTCACTCGAATTTCCCATTATGCCTACATTCCTAAACCCCAAAATCCTACACCCGAAGCCCCAAACGTCGGACTCAGATCGCAGGTTATCAGACTGGAAGAGCTCCCTCATGGGTGCGGTATTGACAATTGGTTGCGATTATATACAGATTCCTTTACGGCTGGACTCTATGGGTAAATTACTCGAAATCTCTAAGGGGTTGCTGTAAGGAATCTACAAGGCCCAATGTCAGCACTTGCCCAGGGGCTCAAGTTGTTGATCTGAAGCTGATAGTACTCCAGCTGGTATTGCGCCTCGGTCTTCTCGCAACCCAGAGAAACGGGCTGAAGTCCTACCCACAAAGCCCAATACTCCTTCACGAAGAAATATGCCTTAACTATACGGGCCTGAATACTATGATTTAACGTACAGCTGCCATAAAACCCAATACCCTTAATTAAGGAATACGACCTTGAAAGACTGCAGGCCTTAATGAGGACAATTCCCAATTCAGGTGTATTGGGCTCTCTGGGAAGACCGTGAAGCCCGAGCCCCAAACGACACCCCTAAGGAGTTGGCTGTTCCGCAAGGTTTCAGGGTTTGGGGGTGTGTTCCAGCCCATCTAGAGGCTCATACTTAACCGCTTTTTAGGATGCCTAGTTTTATGGTTAGGATCTGTAGAAGAGTAGGTACCGTAAAAAGGGCGAGGGTATGCGCCTACAGGCAAGAAATCGAAAAAAACCTGCCTCTACATGACAAAGGACTCTGGCATCCTAGCACAATTCCGAAACACATGCGTTCATACCCAAACCCAAACCCTCAAAACCCCCCCAAACCCTGAACCTTAAAACCCTGAACCCTAAACCCGAAACCCTTCTTAAACCAAGAAGATGCTATGTTTAGGGCCGAAGGCCTCCAGAGTACATGTCGAGGAATCCTGATGACCGCCCTGAAACCCTGTGCTAACGTCCTGACTTACCCTGACTGCTCATATGTAGCTTGAAAGACAGCCATTGTAGATAGACAAAATAGATAGTTGAATTGTGTGTGCGCACAGATATGTGCTTGCATGCATCCATGTATAGTCCCACAAGCTCGGAATCGTCAGCCAGCCTGTGCCCCAGAACCTAACGCTCAACACATAGCTAATCGGCCGGGGGGCTAACCATCCAGAAAGCTGGAAGGCTGTAACTGGTCTCTGCAACTGCTCCTGCTTTCAGCATTGGACTTTCTTGAGCGTTTAGGGTTTAGGGCTTTGGGATGAGTCTTTGTATTCTGCAATATTTCAATCCTTGGCCCTAAAGCTTCCACCCTGAACCCGACATCCAAATCGTAAACTAGGCTACCCAACAACCCCATAGTATAAGGGAACCCTTTTTCCTTATACTCGGTTTTAATACGGGGACCACCCTAAAAAAGCAAAAGGGTACTACTCAGGAACCTAGCAAACCAGTGATTCAAGGAGTCATGGTTTCATTGCATATTCCACGCTCATGGCTACAAAGGTCCTTTTCAGTTTTGTCAACCGCAGGAGGGCGTGGCTACATAGCAGTTCTGGGGAGTTAGCATGAGTAAGTAGATTTTGAGTAGATTGCTGCAAGTAAGATATCCGCGATTCGCGACCTAATTACTTACTATTACCATGTCCCAGGACTGTTTGAGCGCAAACAGGGACGGAATTCCGACCCCCGAACCCTGAACTCCAAATCCCGAATATCAAATTCGATCTCAGAGAAATACTAAATAAATGGTTTTGGGAGTCTTGGCTTCGGGCCTTGGCAGCAGAAGCGTCAAACCTTAAGCAAGTCCACAGATCAGCAGCCAGATAGGATTAGCCACCAAAGCCCGAATCAACACACGAGCATCCCACTCCACAAACAAGTGCAAGCAGTAGCGGTGAACTGAACCTTCAACAAACAGAAACACCCACCCTTAACGTTATACAAGTGGAATCAACAACTCTAAATATCGGCAACAATGTGTAAAGTGATGCTTGCTCCCTAACCTCATGCAAACAATGCCCGAACGTGAAAACACCAGAAGCAAGTGAAAACCCTAAACGTAAATCCTAAGCTCCTAAAACCGTAGACTCCTGAACCTCGAAAAACCCCAAACCCATGAACAACACACACAACACAACAAACCACCAGCGACACACTCAACAAGAAACATACCAAAAGCACTAAGCTTCAACCAGACAACGCAAAACAAGCACGACGACAAAGACCAAAGAATGAGCTACCCACCAAACCCTAAGACCCAGCAAAACTGGGTTGTTGATAAACAGTTTGGTTTATTTAAGTTACCATAATAAGGGAACCACATTTTTTACTGTAGATCCGTAGATGTAAAACCCTTAACGCAATAAACCCGAAACCCCAAACACTAAACCCCAAACCGTAACTTAACAAGAACCCAGGAATCAAAAACAAAAAACATTAAAAAACAAAAACAGAGATTCGCCTCCGCCTCTCGAAGCGCTTTCCGGAGCTCTGCGAGGACCTCCCAGCGCTTCGAGTACTCTCCTTAAACGCAGCCTCTTTTAGGGGTTTTCTTTAAGGGCTTAGGGTTTCTAGGGTACCGCGGCTCTTTTCGGGGCTTCCTTTAAGGGTTTAGGGTTTATAGGTTTCCGCGCCTCTTGAAAGGGCTTCCTTTACGGGTTTTTGGGTTTTTAGGGCTTAGGCTCCGTTAAAGACTTCCCTTACTGCTTCTACAGACGTTCTATTCGGGGCCGTAAGGGTTTATAGGGCCTTGGGTTTAATAAGGTTCTTTCAAGGGTCACTGTGAGGGTTCAGGGTTCCATTTAGGACTACCATAAATGTTTAGGATTTCGTCGTTTTCTTGGAGGGGAGGTCGGGGTTTCAAAGGTCTTGGGGTTTCTGTAGGGCTTACAGCTGGTTACAGGCTCCTACTCTACTACTAGGACCCGGTTTGCAGTTGAGGCTCTGGCCTTTCTCTGGGCTGTTTTTCTGCATTGAGATCAGGAACCTTACCAAACCTGAAATCATGACTCTTACAGAACCCTCATGAAGCCGAACAAATATGATGGATAGAACCCTTACGAAGCCCTATATGATGGAACCCTTACCCGGAAGGTCCATATGTACTACCATGCCTTATGCAAAAGACCATCCCTATTGTGCTTTTGGGGGCCTAATGCCATGCTGGTAGTATGTGTGTACTCTTTGGGTTACAAAACAATTATGCATACCCGGAAATCCTGGGCGCGCAATTTTATTTGAAGAATTCGCGGAGCCGCTCAGGATCCTGGTTCCTCGGCAGGTGGTGGGAAGGTCTAATTAACCCAAAGGGTCCTAGCTACTTCTACCGGGGATACTTTCTCAAATCATTAATAGTAATTCCTATCTTAAAAACCCTGCACTCTACTGTCTATATAATACCTTGGACTCTTTGTGGTTTAGGGTTAAGGGTTCAGGCATCGGTTGATTTGCGGGGTTTAATTTAAGGCCCTTTGGGTTGAGGTGTAGGGTTTTGGGTTGAGGGATCCTTCTTCCTAGCGTGATTTGTGGATTCGGGGCGTAGGCTTGAGGGTTAAGGGTCTAGATTTATCAGGATTCGGCCCAAGAGGGGTGCTACGCGGGTTTAGAGTGCTTTTTGCTTGTTTCGAGCTCATAGGGCTTAGAGTTTTGCCTTTGCCGGCAGTCTACCTTGATCTCGTTTTTGCGATGGGACTCTAATTTTAACACTCGTTCAGCCAAGACAGGAACACTATAGGTACGCTGCTTATTGCCGGCGGACCACGGGTGAAAGAGTAAGGCGGTGCCGCTCAGTTACGATGTATAGGTGAAGGCTCCGGGCTTGACGTTTCGCTCTTGAAGTGCACAATGAGAGCTTTGAGCTTCAGGGTATAGGGAGCTTTGAGCTTAAGGGTATAGGGTAGTCACCATTGTAGTTTCCTTCTGTTCTCCAACCGTTTCAGGTTTCGGGCTAAGGCTTGAGGGGTTTAGGGTGAAGGGGTTCAGGCTTTAAGGGTTCACCCCCAAAAGGAACTACAACGGAGACTGTAGGAAGGTCTGCGGTTCCGATTTTCAGGTGCAAGCATGAATGTCATTCCCTGTGGGACGGGGCGTCTCGGGGAATAGACCTCAACTCACAAGATAAACCTCAACAATTCTAGAGTCTATTCCTTCATTAAAGAGTATGGGGCTCTCTGGGTATGCTTATGATGTGTGCACTTGTCTTTTGGTCGGCATTGGGCCTCTACTTTTGAGTCCATGGCACACACATTTTGGCGTGAAGGCCCGCAGGTTTGGAGAGGAGGACTTGGGGTTCAAGGCGAAAATGGGGGGGTACCTTATTTTGTGATCCTTATAATACATATCCTACTATGGAAGGTACTATATTAGGATCCACTATTTTCGGAAGCTCCCATTTAGGGAATTGGGTATTCGGGGTGAGGGTTCAGAGTGTTACGATTTAGGGCTCTAGGGTGACGAGGCAAACCTTGAAGGTACTGAGGTACCCATATGGCAGCGACATGAACTCAATCTCTTCATGCAGAACCACCTGCAAACCCCTGTAAAACCCATCAGCCCGACATCAAAGTGCGTGTTTACAAGAAACCGTTATACAACATGTGAAACGCTATAGTAACCCTATAAACCCTAAACCCCTATACCCTAAGCTAAGGCCTTTGTGCAAGCTCGTTTTGCGTTGCACAAGCATGATCATGCCTCCACCTTAAGACCCTAAATACGCCCAAAAACCTGAACCCCTAAACCCTGACCCTGAACCCCTATAAACCCTGACCCCTCAACCCCTAAACCCTGAACCTCTCAACCCTGACGCCCTAAACCCTGATCCCCTAACCCTACCTTCCTGGCCAGGCTTCGTGAAGTCTAGGATCAGATAGCCTTTCCCGTCCTCAGGATCAGGCTCCTCCCACGGAATGCCGCAGTGATCCAGTAAGTTCCTGTTTAGGGTTTAGGGGCTTTGGATTGAGGGTTTTAGGGTTTGGTGCAGGGTTTATCGGGGCCGCTTCGTGCCGGGATTCGACATATGGGCTCTACTCTACGTCTTTGTACATTCCGGTGTTCATAAGCCCACCTCAACAAACACGTTCAGTTCTAAAGGGGCTACACTTATCCCAAACAAATGTAGAGCATGCTCATGCAGCTACAAAGTAGAGCTATTGCATGTCCCTGTATATAAAGGTAGGTGCAGCAGAGGTGTACAAGGTTTAAGGGCTTTAAGGATGTCCGTAGCAAGATTTAGGTCCGGGTGGGAGGTTTAAGGCTTGTGGGTCCGAGCATGTAAGAGTCTTGGGTTCAGGGACTTCGGTTGTTCAGGGTTCAGCATCGTTTAGTGATTTGGGTCTGCAGCTTAATGCGACCCGCCTTAACCCCTGCAGTCCAAACGATGCTGCTAGTGGACAGAACTTTGCATCATTACTAATAATTAACAATCAACCAGGCGCTAGCGCAGGATTAGGCCCTACATCCTGAACCCTAAACCCAAACCTCTAGGGCTAGAGATCGCCTGTTCATGGTTTAAGTTGCGAATTAGAGGTTAACGCTTAGGGGCGGAGGCTGCCAAAGCTTGAGGCTTAGGGTGTCGGGCACCCGAACCTTCAACCCTATCTTGACCTGCCGAGACCTACTTGTTCTTGTTTGTAGGGTCCTTCTACATTCCGTACAATAAGAACCTACAACAAAGTAGGCTATGATAACTTAGGGTAGGCCCTAACCTCCACCCTGCTTCATGGTTTTGTAAGCAGGGGTTCTGTTACGTACTCGCAATGCCCGAAGGACTACCCTTAAAAGTAGGGGCCATCTACATACACACATACAGACATACACACATGCGTACATATATATATATATATATATATATATAGATGTTTATCTATATTTATGTGTGTATACCATCATACCATGAACCTCTATATGGCATATGACCCTAAACCCTAAACCATAGTCCAGGGTCGTTAAGGTCATGCAGGATTTGTATCATCAACCGTATCGCGAGAAAAGGCCGCATGAAGACCCTACAAGAAGTCGACCTTCACCTAAACCCTCCAACTACCCTCCTTAGTTGCTGAGTTCATAAGCCGCAAAACGTGTACACTGCTAGTTGTATAGTGGGTATTATAATCCCAAAAAGTGTAAAGTCTATCCACTCAGCTACTACGTCTCTATTCTACCCTAAACAGCCACTGTTAAGGACCATAAGGACTCGATTAAAGGGTACTTGGGGGGTGCTGGTTCACCTGAACCCTACACAACGTTGATGTTTACGAGAAGGATGAACCTTACACTTCAAGACCTACAGCTTACGGGGCTTTGTGGATTCAGGGTTTAGGGTTTAGGGCTTAGGATTAAAGGACTAAGACTTGCTGGTAGTGTTCAGAAGGTCCGGGGCTGCATCTTGTATTGTAGCCGTGATAATGCCAACAATTCAATAATCGTCATTAGCTGGCCGGGGCTCTTGATGGTGGCGGTCATGTCGCTCTTGTTCCAGTAGGTGCTGTGCAGCCGATAGCCTGTGACCACCTCGATTGCAATCGTTGCCCCGCTCAGAAACCACAGGTAACCCTCGTTTGAAGCTGCTTTGTGGCTCATAGGGGTCAAAATATAGGGGCATAAATAGTTACCTATTCTATTTGAAGGGTTCCTTATTATAAGTATAATAGTATAATGGGGTCCCCAAAACCCTATTCTAATTATGAAGGCCCCCCCATAGTAGAGGGAAAGGCTGATGCAGCCACTTGGCCGCTATTTTGGCAAATGGGTGTGTGGTTTGCTGTGGGTTGTGCTCAATAATTCAGAATACACCTATGCCATCCCAAGTCGTTGATGTGTGGTAGGCCGTGTTGCTAGCTATGATCCCTCAAAACTTACGGGAACAAGGTGACCTTGAACAGAGAGTCCCAAAGGGTCCAAAGCACCTATATAATAGAATGTAGGGTTTCTATATTAGGAATTACTACCATGATCTGGGGAAGTATCCCCCATAACAGTACATAGGACCCTTTGGGAGTGCACTTCGAGCTCTAGGTAGCAACCCTAAACTCGATAACCTGAGTCTGAAAAACACAGCGACGTGAGCCTCAAAACTGCGAAACCTCAAACAACTTAACCTGAATACCCAATACCCAAATACCCTAAACCTGGACACCGTAAACCCTGAAGCCCCTCAACCCCTGAACCCTAAGCCTTATAAATCCTAAATCCCCTCAAGCCTAAACCCCAGGCCTTGAACCCTAAAGCACCTCAACCTTGAACCCGAAGCCCTGAATCCTAAGCCTTAAGCCCTAAAGCCCATCAACCTTAAACTCAAATCCCCCTGAACCCAAAGCCTTAAACCCTAAATCCCCTCAACCTCAGACCCAAAGCCCTGAACCCCAAGCCTTAAACCCTAAATCCGCCTCAACCTCAAACCCAAAGCCTTAAGCTCCAAAGACCCCAAGCCCTAAACCCTACAACCTCGCAGAGCTTTGGGGTCCCCGAATCTATCGTCACCCTAAGCCCCAAACGCTCAAC